GTTTCTGGTTATATGTGTGGGTATGTATTCAGCATATTCGTCTATTGTCTAGTGTTACATCCTATGACCAGTCAAATATCACATGACAAAATCGCCAATCAGAATGCCGACTCCTGTGTTAAACCGATGATACGTCAGGCAACACTACACAGCCTTGGTTCAACTGTGAGCCTCTATTTGTCCTCTGTTTAGTAATTTCTTGCTTAACGTAACCCGTTTAGTCTAGAACATAGATATCAGCCTCCGCTATATGAATCGTATATTTCAGATATATGTAGTTTATATACAAACAGACCAGAACCCATCACACCATCAAATGAAGAATAATAATTATATATGATCAAGCCAAAAGTGTCTGAGATTGTAACTAATAAATTGGAAATAAATTAAGAATGGTAAATAGTATAACAGTAGCCAATAGATCAAATTTATTTTTATTTATTTTAACACATAGATATTGGTACAAGGAGGCACCAAATACATATGTGTCACACGAATCTCATTTGATATGTGTGAGGGCTGTGATACTGCCCGGGTGCCCAAACCGAAGCAGGTGGTTTTCTTAGGGGGCCACACCCCGAGCCTTCGACCTAAAGGTCTGATCCACAAGGCAGTGGAGCATCGTAAGGAGATGAAGTCCCATGGTAACCGGTGACCAACGATTGGTTCATACGCCATTTGTTCCTGCAGGATACTGGAGCCCATGTGCACCATTGTTTTGGGATCCGGTTAAAGCGCCGGACATTTGCTTTTCGTCCTCTCATTTTCGTAAACAATACCGGTGCCACGAGAAGGCAGTGAGTAGGACATCCGTGGCAGAGGCTATATACACGTGGCCATGTGAGAGCATTTGGAGAGGGAGAGCGGACTCTCCCTACTCTCGGCCGTACCAGGGCATTTGGGGGCCAATAGATCAAATGGAAGCTTATGATAAAAGGAACATAAATATACATATAATCTAGTTACTTAATAGTTATCCAATAAGTGTATATATATAATAACAGTTCATAAATAACTCCTAACAGTTATCATTCATTTGTTCTCCATTCGAATATAACACCTACTTGGACATGTAATCGAATTTTTAAGAAAAAAAAGGAAGAGAATTACTGTCGAATCTAATCTTCAAAAATTCAACAATGCTCTAATGCAAAGTTATCAATCTTCCACGTCTTACATTACATTAGAATAATTGAATTCATTAAATTTTTAATTCTATTTTAATATCTAGTTCAACGACATTTTGATCATGTCTTATTTTGAGAATTCAATCTTGAACCGCCTCTTTTTTTTTAAAATTCTGCTTAGTTTTACAAATATTAAACGAAACTGGAATCAATACAACACTAATATTATGATGAGTGTTAGATTTGGTTTATATAGTTAATTGGAATGGATCAATAATAAGCACATTATCATCATCATCATCATCATCATAGATGGTTTTAGATTTATTTAGCCTTATTACCCTGATACAATTGAATTGTGTATACTGTCTTATCTATTCTTTATTACCTTTTCTATATTATTCTTTTTCAGTAAAACAAAATTATTTCAATTTTTTTCTTTTTTTTTGTTGGTTTTTATACTTTCCATTTTTATCTGATGATGATGATGATTGTTATTTTTCAAGGGTGTACATAATAATTATACTCTTTGTTTCTATGTGTGTGCGTGTATGTGTGTGTGTGTGCATGTGTGCAAATGTCTATATAGTTTCTTTCAACCCTCTGGATATATTGTATGTATCAGTCGGCTTTCTTACGTATTGCTCAGTTTTTCATTGCATATTAAAATCTTATGCATGATATATATATATATACATATATGGCTATTAAGAATTTTGTGTACATGCACTCATCTATATATACTTTTATTGTAGTTGGTGTTTTTCTAACTTCTTTCTGTTGAAACTCAGTATTGATAATGGTGTTGTTGTTCGAGAAGAAATGTTACCATGATTATTCATTTTCTCCATTTTTCTCTCCTTTGCATTTGCAACATTAAGTTTTTATAAATTTCAAGGATTATATATATATATATATATAGATATAGATATAGATATATAGATATATACCTTTGATTCATATCGTTGCGATCAGTAAAATAAATTAACACTTTAATAAGTATTGAATTGTTACCATAGGGAATTAGTGGGCTCTTCAGCAGCGCACACACTTTCCCACGGAATCGGACGCAGTACCTTTAACTAGTTCGCAGTATTGTACAATCACCTTTCAGTGGGATCGGTGGGTAATTACTGCCTTATACCCGGTATGGTTAAGCTCGATTGATCATTGATTTTTCCCTTAGTAGGGTCTTAAATGTATACTGATGAGGAGTTCCACACTAGGACGTAATAATTTTCCAGTACTTTCTGGTTTTCAATAACTCTGACTAAGATTAGTTCATAGTGTAAACTATGAATATTCTTGTTGATTTGTTCAATTACATCTAATACACGAGGTAACGAAATAGACTTTGTTATTTTGATTACTTAAGATAACACCTAAACAGAGATCAGATGGCTGCTTAGGCACTGAGGATAGCTGTTTGATATAGGATTACTGGATGGTTCTAGATGGTCGGCAGGATACTGTGCTCAACCTAGCTTCCTTGTTAGTTGGTAATCATCACCAAAACTTACCTACAATCTCGACGGAACTAATACTGCTCAATGAATCTCAACTCATGTCACCCAGCTTCACAGTCTGTGTTGTTCAGGTTGCTACTGAATTTTTTATAGGACTAAAATACTTACAATTGACTGAATATTTAGTAATGACTAATGTCATATTTATCTAATCTTTCAGTGTTGATTGTATTCCATTGATTGAGCACTAAACCTAGGTCGAGGGCTCCCTGCCGATTACTTCCAACCACCTAACACCTCAACATAATGCACGCAATCTTGAGTCATTCAGATTAATGCAACTAGACCGATAGAATCTGATCAATATGACATTGGTCACTATTCAGCGACCATTCAGTGGTATATATGTTACCTAATAACCTAGTTTTTTCTGTTTCCGATGGTTGGTTATTCGGTTAGATAAATGTGCCTAGTGGAGTAGCGGTTTAGTGGTTATAAATCGTCCATGCTTTAACCACCTGAGAGTTGGAGTGATTCAAAGAGTACCTCACCTAGGTTGGGTTCAGCTTTTTGAATCAATGACTAAAGTGTTCAACTTTTAGTCAATAAATCCCAGACTCAAACCTCGTTCAAAATACTTCTGTCTACGTAACTAGTTAGTATCTCTAGCTCTCACATTTAAAACCATGCGCATAATTCTGTACCTGATAACTAGGTGAATGAATATCCGTTAGCTTTCATATTTTTCATCACTATAGAGTGAAAGGGATAATGATGAACGTATCGAATGCTTAATTGTATCCCTGTAGATTGTATATAACGGGGAAATAGACACTATTCCTATATTTGAATCATAACCCCTTAATATTGAAGTAAACTTAAGCCAATTGGCAATATATTTTATGGACAAACTAATCATGTTATGCCTCTTGGATTTTTGCTCAGAATTTATTTGTCGACACTTCTACAGATGGGCTAAGAAGTAAATGAAAACTTGTCACCGTTATTTTCTTAGTTCATCCATGTATTATGCTCTCACTAAAGTCATCTTAGTGTAGTTTTTCGTGATTATATTTTTGGTTAGTATTATCACAGGAAGTTTTCGTGGAAAATATCCACTTTTTAGACCAACACCTTCAGATTGGAGGCAGTTTTTAAAACTAGGAACAAACTGTACAGGTGCTTTATCCTAGTATACGACTTATCATCAATGTATATCCGCGACCAGACCAATGTCTTAACGGAAAATTTAACCATCTAGCTTATAGAACTCGTCAACGTCATAATTCCATACTTACACACTACACTTTATGCAGATTGGAGTTTTGACAATGGTGGTGTGATGCTTTCTTTCTCTTGGGAATCATTTAATTAAACATCCAAATTAAGATGTTACACTGCTGGTTACGGTACTTTTAAATATGTTCTGTGTTATAACCACATCATGTTAATTAATTTCGAAACCTTACTATTTATTTTTACTCTTATTACCACTATTGTTCATTAGCAGCTATCAACTGTAGAAATTTGTATTTGTATAGATTCTTTTTGTTTGTATCTCTTGTTAACAGAATTTTTTCGTGCTTTCTTTTTTTGTTCATTCAATTGTTAATTCTTGATAACTATTTAACTTCAGAAGGGGTTTGTGGAGGTTTTAGAAACTTCACTGATTGAAATCATGAGTCAATTGAAGCTAGAACACTATGGAAAATCTGGAAGCACTGAACGGCCGTTTCGTCCTAGTACGAGACTCCTCAGCAGTGCACATCCACGACCCCGCACCCCGCGAGATTCGAACCCAGGACCTATCAGTCTCGCGCCAGGCGCCTAACCAACTAGACCACTGAACCGGTATCCAACGGTGTTAATGTCTAACTTCAACCAATCCACGAATTTGCGCCACCGTATACCATTGTCTTCAGTGAGCGGGGTGCGGGATCGTGGATGCGCACTGCTGAGGAGTCCCATACTAGGACGAAACGGCCGTCCAGTGCTTCCAGGTTTTCCATAGTGGTCTAGCTTCAATTGACTCATGATTTCAATCTGAGGAATTATTTAACTTATCTAATGAAAATGTCTGTTTGTTTGATCCATTTATTTATTCATCCGATCAGTTGTGTTATTGGATAATTTTTTTAACAAACTTCTTCGAGTATATGATGTTATGCATGTAAACTACTACACCAACGTGTTTGTTGTCATTATATCTATGTGTGTACATATATCTACGTATTGTGTAATGTTATGCCTGTAAACTACTACACCAATGTATTATGTAACTTCATTATTACTCTATTTAATTTTCACAATCATATCGTTTCTTTTCTCACTCAGATAACAATCGTTAGCTTAATCATTCATTTTCCCTTGTTATATAATAATTTATTATTTATTTATTTTTTCATAGGCTCCAATGTGACTAAAACTAATTCACGTACTGACTCATCCTATTCATCAAGACGACATACAAGTTCTCGTAATCCTACTTCTACTGGACATCAATCGAAAAATTCACGTGACAGTTCATTAGTTGTTCCACATTCTACAACAACGAGTACAACAGCAAGAACTCGTTTAAAAAGTCCTCAAAGTGTTCGATTAAGTTCATCATCAACTACTTTAAATAATCAAGCGGTTGGTGTTAGCGGTGGAACAAATCAAACAAGGTGTTTATTTTGATTATTACTTTGGTTATTATATTATTAAACAATGGAATTCATTTTAGATTGATTGATTATTGGTTTACTTCATATAAATTCATTGTTTGTTTATCTAAGAATCTATGTTTATATTTCATAGGTAAAAAAAGCATCTTGTTATTATAGGCTGTATTGAAAATGGTTAGATTTTAAGTTTCAACTCATAAATCGGCTTCAGTTGGACAACTTTAACCCTATTCTAGTATGGAATTCCTTTAGCATGACCATCTCACTAGGTGTCGAATTCAGTCTGTGATGTGAAGATTTAAATTTAGTAACATCCAAAACTACAATCATTATGTGATTTCTGGTAAGTAGTTTCAAAACGTAGTTCCTAAACTTTTAGTGAGAGGCCGTGACCAGTAGAGTTCCACCATGTTGGGGATTTGACATATCACCAATGACAATGAATGATGGTCGTACAACATCGCGAAATGACTGAAATTATAAATACAGACTATTATTTATTATCTCAGTATGAAGTCTCTTTCAGGAGTGCGGACCTACGTTTGCATCATGGACAGGACTCTCAGGACCTTCAGCAACTGTTGGAGGGGCTTAATCTGACTTTTAGGTGTTTTCTACTCGGATGAAATATCTGTCTAAGTGCACTGTAATTTTCAACGGTTGTCTAGCTTAAAGTCAGTTTGTGATTCAAGCCAAAAAATTTTTATGATAATGGTAATTGCAACAATATTAAAAACTGATCAATTTACCTCTTTGAGACACTTCTTTATGTCCATTTAATCGTTGGGGGAGTAACTAACATGCCACTCCCTCTAATTTAACCTGCCAGTTAATATTATCAACGCTATATTCGATTGATATGTTTCACACAAAAACACATGCATACTTCCACGAACCTCTGTATGTATACTGGATTGTTAAAACTCAATTTTCACTATCTGTAAGGGGTTTACATTTTCCCGTTTCTGATTTTAAGGACGGCAACTGATCAGTCTCTTGGCATACATGCATCTTGAGCGCATTGTCCTGGTATTGTTATCAAGCCACAATTCTTTGAATAAAATAGGATAGTGGCTAGTAATGAAATCAAGGAGGCGTGTTTTGTCCTGTTTAGGACTGTTCAGATGGATGAACTACAGTCCCAGTGTTGATATCCACACTGAGACTACTTTAGTCAGTGGTTCCTTGGTTATCTATTAAAATTCAGTTTCCACTAGCTGATAAGGTTTATTTAGAAGAGTAATTTTGTAGTTTACTATCATACAATTTGATTGTTTATGCTTCACTCTACGTAACACGTAATCATGTATGTAATTTCACAATATTAGTTCTGATTACGCAAAATTGGTATGTATTTTAGTAGTATTTATAAGTCCTCATGAGCGGAGCTCCTAACATTAATTTCAATGTCCCTTGATATTGAACAGTTACTGAAATGGTGTACTTTTGCGAGGAAAATTTCACTGCAAGTTCTAAAACAATCTTCATTTTTAATAATAGTATAGATAGAAATTTTAATTTATTAAGTTAGTTATTTATTTATTGTATTTGAAACTTCTTCATAATTAGTATACCTGTGAGACTTTTTTTATTGACATAACTACCAAGTATCAGAATGTGTTTTGTGGAGATTTTTAGAAATTTTCACAGATTGAACTCATGAGTCAGTTGAAGCTAGACCACCATTGAAAACCTGGAAGCACTGGACGGCGAAGCCAGTAGGTCCTGGGTTCGAGCCCCGGGTGGTGCGGGGTCGTGGATGCGCACTGCTGAGGAGTCCCATACTAGGACGAAACGGCCGTCCAGTGCTTCCAGGTTTTCAATGGTGGTCTAGCTTCAACTGACTCATGAGTTCAATCTGTGAAAATAACTACCAAGTGTTTAAGTTAGTAGTAGTAGTGTTAGTAGTATATATATATTTGTGTTTATTATTAATTATTGGTTAGACGAAATCGGATTACTAGTGCTAGTTCAGAGGATAGACAATTTAATAATTTCAATAATAATAAACATGAAGGTGACAACAAAACTTTATCTATGTATGAATATAATGATATGATAATGTCACGACAAAGTGAACCTATTACTTACCAACAAAAATCATCCACTTTAAAATCGAATACATCTTCACGATATTATGAAGCTTCTAATGGACCATCTGGTTATACAGTATTTTGGAGATCAGCTTATGATGGTGAATTAGATGATATATATCGAATGAATCATTGTCAAAGTCCTACAAGTCAACAACACCAACAACATTCTGTATCTATGTCTTCATCATTTCGGAAAAATCATACAGTTGCTCCACCTCCACCACCACCACCACCTGCTCTCCCACCATCATCTTTATGTATACCGCCAAATCTTGTTCGTCGTGGTCGTCCATCCTCTGGACCATCTTCTTCAATATATTATTGTGCTAATGATTCAGATGATCGTTCTGTGCATTTAACATCAACTGGTCGTTCTCTTCATCCTACTGCTTGGAAACCTGGTGGAGTAGCAATATGTCCTACAAATCGAGAAACGATTCCATCAGTGAATAAACCATCATGTATACCCAAATTTCATGATGATGAGCAAGTCAAGATCTACCACATATTCTTATAATATGTTTTGGTGTGATTTAAGCATTTTTAATTTAATACTTTTAGTTATAATTATTGTTTTTGTGACTAACAATCTCACTTATTTCATAAATTCCATCAAAAGAAAAGTATTAAGCATTCAATAACTATCAAAATTTTTATTCACCATTCATAAACTGTAATACACTAAATGTTTAACACTACACTGGTGATTTGTATATGTCGTTACTATTTATAATTGCACTTATAGAAAGGGAGATACGTTGTGTATAGTTACGTAACATTTTCATTTTATTTTCAGTTTTTATCACTTAGTTGCAGTCGTCTATTTTCATTTGGGTAAACCTATGATTGATACTTTGTTTCCTACTCTTTTTTTTTCTTCTATAAATCTTTTAGCTCCAAGGAAACTACTTATTTACCAGGTAACTAATAATATTTTCAGTTTAATTAGTTTGTTTCAATTTTTTTAATAATCCAATTCATTTGCTAAAGATTATTTATCCGACTTCAGGCTATGGTGTTTTAGTTTATGTACAGAGGAAGGCTAGTAATATTACTCGGCTAACCAAACCGATGTTTATTGAGCGAAATTTGGACCTAGATCATCGACTGTTTTATTCACCAAGCCACTATTACACTCAGTTTCGAATCCCTCTATATGTATAGTTTAACTGCGCATTGTATTTATACATGTGAATAAATTTGTCACTTTAATATATCTTTCTGATACTATTAAATTGCCCATCATGAATATTCTTGTATGATGAGCATTTTGAACGATGAAGAAAGACTGTATCCTCTTGAACTCACTCGCTTACCATATCGAATCTAGACATAAAAGAACAACTGTCCATCAAGAGAGATATTGGTTCTACGTGAAAAGATTGATTCAGGTGTATCTACTACACCTTTATAAATAGAATAGAACGTCGGACCACTAAAACCAATGCGGTGTGTAGTTAACGTTGTTAAAAGTGGTAAACTTAAAAGTACAATAAACGATCAGGAAACAAATGCCAAATCCAGTTTTTTACCAAATAAATTATACAGATGTAAGCCTAGCAAGCCATTTTTAAAAATGTAATCACTTGATTATTTGTAATTTAATTTTCATCTTCAACGGTAATTGATCACTGACCATTATATCATGCTTGTCTAGTCTTTATTGCTGATCATTTGATTGGAATTCGATCACCTCTGAGGATTAGGTACACATAACAATGTCTACTGTTCAGTGGTCAACCAGTGTGATAGATTAGTCCCAAAAGAGGTCAGTCACGGCTACGTTTATGTTTTCTTCTATCACATTGGGTAAAGTGAGTCCGCATTTCTCACCAGGGACATCAGTCCACTCAAGATATCAAAATCAGAGTACACCATTCCTTTAAAGTTTTAGTTCAACACGTTAGCAATGGAGCAGCCAGATATAGATTTTCTGTATACGATTATGCAAGATATCATGAATACGCATGGACTGTAAGACAGTTTTGAGATAGAAGATCAAATTTGTTCCTGTCCATATTGATTAATCCTACTAGCTGTACAGCTGTGATCAATTTGTGATACGATTTCATTGAAATATTGAGTTAATCTTAGTTGCACAACCTTTGAAAACCTGGAAGCAGTACAAGTCCGTTTCATCTTAGTATGGGACATCTTAGCATTGTACATCCACAAGCCAACAGGCGGGATTCAAACTTAGGACCTTCAGTGTCGCTCTCGAACACTTAACCTCTAGACCACTGAGTCGGCATTCAACGGTGTTGATATCTAGCCTCAATCAATTCACGGAATTAAGCGATCATCTTCCATTATCTTCCATGGGTAACTGCCTCACCTTATACAAATTAGCTTTACTGGTCACGGCTTCTCATAAGAAATTCGGAAATTTCTTCTCGAAGCTAGTCACTAGCTAGCACATGATGACTATCAGTATGAGGTTATAGAGATTCTTTAGTTTCATTGAAATGATGAACCGATCTATGCTAAACTACCATTGAAAACCTGGAAGCAATGGACGGTCGTTTCGTCCTGGTACGGGACTCCTCAGCAATGGCGATTTCCCCATATTAAAAATCTGATACAATTATCAATTTTCCTGTTTTATTTTCTCTCTTTCCATTCTATTTTACTTTGTATATTTAAAAAAATATCTTGTTAACCAGGTGATGGAATCCTACGATTTTATATTCGTGGACGTCCAGTCAATGTTTATATGCCTACGCAAATTATGCATAATTATGATTTGTCAATTCCATTGAAAGCACCGGATACGACGTTGAAACTGGAATGGATGTATCCTTTTTGTGGATTGTTTTTTTATTTTGTATTTACTTTCATAAATCATTACTCTTTAACAAATTTTCTTGAATTACTTAAATTTTTGCCTATTAATTGCGTGGACCTCAATCAGGTGGTTTGCATCCATTAAAATAGCTCAAATCAACGGTCAATTGCTTCATAAACTGATGCCACATCTTAGTTTGTAGGCCCTTAGTTCTTGTTTTATACAGAACACTCAGTTAATTGAAGAGTCTCTATACTTCAAAAGTCGGACTCTAATGATAAATTGAAATGTTGTTTATTATTTTATTCAGCAAAAAATCGTTTAAATTGTTGATTGATTGTAGCTAGATGACTACTTGGAACCAGGGAGCACTAGAAATATTTTTCATCCTAATAAGTGACTCCCCAGTAGTGGATGATCACGTCTCCGCTAAGAATCTATCTCAACATATTTAGTTCTCCCAGTGAGCACGATATGTTTAAACCATATGGGGTTGTCCACTTTTCACGATAATGCACAACCATTATCCATTACCATTGATTTAGCCTCTATGACATCTGAAACTCTACTAGTCATATCTCGCTTATAATTTGAGAATTTTCGTCGAAATGAGTCCCTATTGAACAAATGATTACCACTATTTACTAGAATAGGAGGTTTGTGAAGATGTTTAACTCCTTTTTTCAAAAAGTATTTTTTTACTGTAATATCATTCGAACTAAAATATTCTCCTTAATTATCATCCTAATAATTCGTTACGTCATCACCATCATAATCTCTGTTTAGTTATGGTTATCGTGGGCGAGACTGTCGAAATAATTTACATTATCTTCCAACTGGAGAGTTAATTTATTTTGTTGCAGCTGTTGTAGTATTGTATAATATTGAAGAGCAATGTCAAAGACATTATTTGGAACATACTGATGATGTAAAATGGTATGTGTTATTTTTTCCTTTGAAAAAAAGTTAATATCATATTTTACGTCATGGAATTATCTTAGATAACTAATGAAAACTAAGAAGCACTGAAAAAATCTTCTTTCTTGATATAAAACTCCCCAGCAATCCAAATCTACAATGTCGATTCAATGGCCTAAATGCTAAGTGTTTTCCACGAAACTTAAAGTTCCTGTTTGTAATCTCTGGATCGATCTTGGATGTACATTACTGAATAGTTCCATAATAGGATGAAATAATCTCCAAGTGATTCTTCGTTTTCAGTGGTTATTTAACTAAGATTAGTTCGTAATGTAAAATATGAAATTTCAGCAATTTCCCCAATAATTCCCACAGTGAAAAAAGTACATTTACAATCATTATATATTATAATGTTATTTCAAAATGTCTATGTAATGATCGATATATTTTTCTATGTACTATTATGCAACAACTGACACTAATATAAAGTGTAAACTAAGCATTTACGAGCGTTTACACGCTAGACCTAAGGTCAAGGGTTGAAGTCTCGAGTACAGGGTCGTGGAAATGCATTTTTCAGTAGTCCTGTACCGGGAAGAAACGGCCGTCCAGGGATTCCAAGTTTTCAATGGTGGTCTAGCTTAGATGGACTCATGAATTCAACTATGAAAATACCAATTATTATTTAATACACTTATTCATTTTTATTTTACCTGACCACTCATTTATTCCAAGTAATCAGTTTTACTGTCGAATTCTTGTTCATGTTAATTATATACTCTTCCATTGTGCTGTTCGACAGCATATTTCACAGTTTGCTTTACGGACTGATGTTAGTTAAATAATCGTTAAAAACTAGAAAATAATAAACAGCTGTTTCATTGTTTTATGTTTTTCATCAAGTAGGCATCTACAACCTCTTTTTTAGGGATCGTACTTGGATATTGAGGTCTTGCAGTGAGCATTTAACCTTTAGATCCTTAAGTTGGAATCTAATGGTTTATGTGTGTAAATTCAATCAATTTACCATTTTTTGTAGCCGTCTTCCAATGCCATTGGTCAGTAACTATCGCATACCCAATATGGTTGAACTAGACTGATCACTATTTTGTACTAAAACTCTTAGAACATTACCTCGTGAAATTAGACACTGACGATCATACGATTACTATTAGTATGAGGGTCACATCACTGATTTTTTTTGTAGTTATACATTTTCTAGAAATTTAGTCATTTATTCACTAAGAAATCAAATGCATGGCTGGTCTATATGTATATTTCTGGTTATCAGTGTAGTTTTATCGAGCATTTCATACAAAAAAGTCATAGATCATACCTTAGTACAGTGTTGTGACTTTATGTCCGGCTTTTTATCACGCGATTTATCCAACAATCAAAATACGACTTATACAATCTTAGCACTGTGCCAAACCAATGACGTTCGACCGGTATGGGCAGCCTAGCGTCCTTATTGGTTCTATGTCCGCCTAGCCCGTCCACTTGAGTCCAGAACACAAATACCAGCTCCCACTATGTGAATCGAATCATTTATTTCAGACATACTGGTTTTATATATCAACCAAACAGACCGCAACGCACCATAAAATAGGAAATAACATTTGTACACAATAAAGCCAAAAAGTGTCTGTGAACGTGGGAGGCACTAGTCAATAAACTGAACATATCTTAAGAACAGTAAATCGTACAATAACAAATTATAGGTCAAAATAAAGCTTATAATAAGAGGAATGTAAATATACATAATCTAATTATTGAATAGTTATACCATAAGAATGTATAGATAATATTAGTCAATTAATGTCTCAGAAGTTACTCGTCATTTAATCTTTGCTCGGATATTACATACAACAGTAGTCAAGTTATTTAAAAGTGAGCTCTAACACGAACCAATATCAACTGCCAATCATTCAGTCACAAATAATGTAGAACATGACACATACGTACGTCTCCATAGGTTGCCATATCATGTTAAATCAACAGGATAGAGATAAATATCTGTTAAGCTAAGATAATATAGCTGCAAGGATAATGAGGAAGACTAAGGATTGAGAATATGGTTCGAAAAGCTAGGGTGAAAAGATATATATTAAGGAGGAGTCTTGGAACTCATAATCCCAAGTAAGATAAAGAGAGAAGCTATCTTCACCATTGTGATCTTTCCTAAACCATATCACTCAACATCTTAGGCACTGGTCACAGTTGTGCATTTCTCAACCAAGAAGTCTGCACCTACCAATGTGACTAAAACTAATAGTCGATAACATCATGGACTGATAGAATGTCTTGGTATGGTTACCCATAGCTTTCAACCAACTTACACTTACAACACCTAACATCAAACATTGGGGAATCGGCGTTTAGGCATTCGTGACATATGCGTCAACCTTCTCAGTGAATAAAGATCTACAACCTCGTTAACTTATTTGACGTTTTTGACATCACTTGTCCCTTGATAGTTCTATGAAACGCAAGCTATTTTTCAAAAGACATCTATAATCGAAAGAATGTAGCCTACGCATGTCTTCTACATTCCAAGACTGTCTTTCACGGTCACAAAGTAGAAGAAAGTAGATTTCTACCCCTTTCTGTTTCGATAGGAAAATCTTACCTACACCACAAATGACTCAAGTTGGCAAAGGTTAACTGAGCTTTCACAATCCATATCAAGATTTCTATAGACATCAACATAAGTTTTAGAACCAGTAAATACTAAAAGCAGTTGCTCAACTGTTTCATCTTAGTTTCCAATTACTTTACGGTGCTTACTCATTTTGTTATGTGGAACCAAACCAAAGATATTTTCACATATCATACTAACTGATCGAGTTGCTACTTAATGGTTAAATCAATTAACTTCTAATTCATTGAAATACAAATTCAAACATTATCTCACTTCAGCCTAGTCAACCAAAGTAGAGTATCATATACTCTCTCCCACATATAAAAGAGTGTAATTCAAGGCTATTTATACAAACAATATACCATTTAGCAACTGAATTAAATCAATTCAATTCAATTCAATTAATTGTAAAGGTAACAGTTTTACCTAAAGTGAGGTTTAGAAAATAAGGATTCTCTACCTAACGATTTTATTCTCTATCTCAAAACTTCTTTATATCAACAATAAAATAAAAAGGAACTGATCAATAAAATGCATGGTGATTTTCTTCTTTTTTCTCTTTCCTGAAAACAGATGAAATAATGTTTTTCTTTGATTCTACTTTTAAATTTAATACTTTTAGAAAATATAAATAAGCTTGAGTGGTTCGTTCTTCTCTTTTCATAATTGATTTCTTATTTGTATGTGTGTGTGTGTTTGTGTTTGGATGTTGGTTGGGGTTAGTTTGTCTGGTTATGTATTTTTTTTTGAGAATTTGGCATAATAAAATTTCACAGATTGAAATCATGAGTCAATTGAAGCTAAACCACCATGGAAAACCTCGAAGCATTGGATTGCCGTTTCGTCCTAGTATGGGACTCTCCGGCAGTGCGCATCCACGATCCCGCACCCCGCGAGGTCCGAGCCCAGGACCTACCAGTCTCGCACCAGGCGCTTAACCAACTAGACCACTGAGCGGTAATCTAACGGTGGTAATGTCTGACTTCAACCAATCCACGAAGTTGCGCCACCATACACCATTTTCTTCAGTGAGCTGATATCTCACAACAGACCTGGTTGAACTCGACTGGTAACGGCTTCTCACTAGAACTCCAAGAGTATCTCTTGAAGTCAGTCACTAGTGAGCAGATGATTATAATCAGAAGGGGTTTGTGGAGATTTTAGAAATTTCACAGATTGAAATCCTGAGTCAATCCCGTGGGGTGCGGTATCGTAGATGCGCACTGCTTAGGAGTCCCATACTAGGACGAAACGGCAATCCAATGCTTCGAGGTTTTCCATGGTGGTTTAGCTTCAATTGACTCATGATTTCAAACTGTGAAGTTTCTAAAATCTCCACAAAGCCTTTCTGATAAATAAATAAATAACCAAATTAATAGGAAGTCGCTTACACTAAGTCATAAAATGTCATAAATTCAAATTACTACTTACTGAAATGTCGCAAATATTTCATTTCAACTGAATATGTACCTACCTATTCCAATCTCTACATTGTTCACATACCTAACTTCATGTTAATCTATTGTGGTCGTCAACATTTTCTGTAAAAAAAAACAACATTAAAATAATATTCATTATCATGAAATGAGGTAGTGCAATCCATACTCTTGTCCTGATTATTGCCTAGTACAATGAACTAGTGAAAACTTATTATTGACACTTGTAAACCTGTATTGTTGTTTTAATGAATCACATGATAAACAAACCAATACACTAGAACATATATATTAGTCACATGAACAAGTGTGGATTATGTTTATATATACTCTTCAATTGCTTTTATCACAATATATTGTAAGTTGGAATGTATTGTTGATGCCTAATGATAATAATAATAGTAATAATAATACTGATTATGTCATGTAGTTCCATTCATAAGTTTTGCCAAATGTATACAGTTTGTTTTAATGATTATTCATATTTCTTATCCACGATAATTTTTTGAATAAGTCAGTATTCCAATGTTAAATTGTTTCATCCTCATTTGTAACTTCAGCAGTACATATTTACGGGTTCACATATGATATTCAGTCAGTCAGTCAGCTACAACGTAGGACCAGACACATATGTGCATCGGTCCAGGTTGCCATACCGCATCAGCACAACAAGATGAACACCGGTTTCATAGCAGTGGTTAGGTCAAAGGTAGTAATATATAAGAGAAAGATTGCATATAGAGATATAGTACAAGAAGAAAGAATTGGTTCGTAGAAAGAAAGATATGAAGTGATTTTAATCTCTTAGTTTAAGGGAAGACAGGGTGTGTATACACCGACGACATTGTGATCGATTCTGAGCCATGTCACCAAGAGTCTCCAACCATTGGTTACGATAGTCACGCGGACCCCAACCAAGTAGTCTGCATCTACAAACATGGCTCAGACTAGAAGTTAGTGACTTCAGGCACTGATGCCACGTTTTGGTTTGGCCGCCCCTAACTTTCTTCCAACCATTTCCAATACCGGATAGCATTGCACGTTGTGGTAATCGGTGTTCAGGCATACGTAACACGTGACCCAGCCATCTCAGTCGATGAAGATTCACAACCTCATCAACTGACTTGCCATCATTCCCTAATACCCTGCGTCTAACGTCACTATTACTTACCCGGTGATCCCAGCAGATGCCAGCAATATTTTTAAGGCATCTGTGGTCAAATACTAATAGCTTACGACATATGATATTGTAATATGGGATTAGGAATTAGACATATTATCTTCTGATCCAGTGGTTTTGTTCTGTTTTACTAATTTTTAAATTCACTCTTATGTAAGTTTGTATTTAACTGAGCAACCTATCATTGTTTCTTCAACTGAAATGAAATCAATCTTTTTATTGAAACAATATCTTCTAATCTTCAAACTATGCATTTTTCAGTCTTTGAACTGATTGTTTATAAAGTAATCTTAGTTATTATTGTAAAGCCGACGAATGTTGAAGTGATCCAATTAAGACCTAACCGATTGATGTTAGACCAGCATTGAAATCGCTGTTTTTTTATTCTTTTATTAACAGTTTTGAAAACACATGTATACAGGTGGTTAGGCTACTGTGATCGAAAATTACATTACAACAGTTGCAAAGTAATATCACATGAAATGATCTGTGTGTAAACTTTAAAGCGAAACATAATCTCATGCATCACCCCAATTATCATCATAAAAATAAATGTTAATCAGTTTCAGTTTTACTATGTTTGAAGTGGTTACGTTATCACCTAAACTGGCGAATGGAACGAAAGTCTGTGACAAAACAACAGGACAAACTAAGGTATTCCAATTCACCTCATTCCTGCTAACTAGAGGGAGACTACCAGATTCAGATGAGGGAAAGATATATTGCACAAGCAGCCAGAAGCTCGAACGAAACAAGCATACAACTCGAGCGCATATATAGTATAAAATTGTCCTTAGGAAACGTCATAAAATAGCGTATTCAAAGAGGAAACGAACGAATGACATTTAGGGTGCTTCCGAGTGGGAAATTCAATCTGAAAGTAAAAACGGACGATTTTGGCTCAAAAATGAGAAGCTCAAATTTCTAAAATAAAATTAGAAAAATAAGACGTTTACCAGTTGATTTCTGGGGATCTAGCATCCCCAACATGTTTACTGAAAAAATAGTCTTCCTTGCAAATTCATCAATATTTATCAACCTACTATCTTAAAATCATCCTTAAAAAACCTCATTCGTGAATACTGTGTGGCATATCATTACTTGGATGTTAAAGATTTTAACAGCTAGTGCACACTGAATAGTGTTATCCAACAGTATTTCTAAAATAAATTGTACTAGTCATGCTATACTAACATAGACTATCAGGGTGACTTTGACTGTAAATCATCTAAACTGTAGATCAAAGACTGTTCTTAACAAGGTCTCATTTAAGTCCTTACGTAATCAATAAACATATTGATGTAGATCCAACTTACGAGAACAAGGTCAGTTTATCACATGATCATTTTGACAAAAAAATAATTCATGGAAGTTCAAAAGAAATACATAAAGACAAATAGAACATCTGAAGATCATTAGAACAGGTTATTTTGACAACTCCGAAAAGCACATTTGGGTAATGTTCGTGTAGAATGGCAATGAACGATTTACAATTGAAACCATCCAGCTTAGAGAACAAACTATAATGAAAATTACTACAAACCATCTCAAGTTAATGAAACATTATTTTTGAATCAATAATTTTTTGATGTTATGGTCGGAGCTAATTGACAGGAAACTTTGAATATATGTTTCATAGTATTTGTCACTCATTGAACCCATCGAAATAAACATCAGCCCTCTTAAGATTCCGAGTACCCATCGGTGACGAGTGTAAAATACCACAAAACCTAGATCGAACAGGGTTTCTTGTCGATTATTTCCAATTGCCAATTATCAAAACATAGTATATAGAATCTTCAAACATTTAGATAGATGATCACATTACAAATAGAATTTGACTCGGAAACACAGCATGTTAGTTACTTCTCACTAATTCATCAATGTAAATATCCTTTTGTTTAAGTATAAGCATTGAAAAGTTAACAATAGTGAACTTTAGACTAAACAATACACAACTCATGTCACAAAAAAAAACAACAACAAAGTTAACAAACCTTTGTAAACATATTGTTGTTCAATGGATTATCATTGATATCTTCTTTATTCATCAATTTATTTACATGTATTTTGCTCTTAAACCGTTTTTCATTTTGGAGCAAATACAAAGGGGTATGGAATATATGATGGTTATATGAAGAAAAAGTGAAATTTTAAATAAATACCTTCTATCAAAAAATAAGGGCGGTCATGAAAATTTATCCTCGGTTTTAGTAGAATAACAAAATCGTTTGATTACTGAACATATTTGTATTGTTCATTTTGTGCATGTTTATATGTATATATGTGTTCACGTTTCTTGTTATATATCCTTATTTCAGTAGTATGATTTCATTTCTACTTTTAATATACCTTGTCATTTACATAGATAATACATGTGTAAATATAACCTTGTTTGTTTTATTACAGTAAGAGAGATATTTCAGATAACTTTCTTAGAATTTATACATTTTTATGTACCATTGAACTATACAGATATTGCCTGTTTATTGTTTATAATACAATATAGGTGTAGTTTAAATACTTAATAATGAAGGAACTATATGTGTAATCTGTCAGTTAACCGGTATACATTAAGTATGTGTATACATATAAATATGAGATCAGTTACATGAATTTTGTTAAATAATCAATGTCTATTGTACTCCAATGTTCAGTTGATCGATTTTTAGTAGTAATAGTTTGAATTTTTGCCAATTTTTTTGTTTGTTTGATTTCTCATAAATTTTAAATATTTTCAGGTGTTTTGTGGAGATTTTAGAAATTTCACTGATTGAAATCATGGGTCAATTGAAGCTAGAACACCATGGAAAACCTCGGAGCACTGTACGGCCGTTTCGTCCGATCTTGGGACTCCTCAGAAGTGCACATCCACGATCCCGCACCCTGCGAGGTTCGAGCCCAGGACCTACCAGCCTCGCGCCAAGCGCCTGACCAACTAGACCTCTGAGCTATAACCCAATGGTGTTAATGCCTAACTTCAACCAATCCATGAAGTCGCTCCACCGTACACCATTGTCTTCAGTGAGTCGATATCTCACAACAGACCTGGTTGAACTCGACTGGTAACGGCTTCTTACTAGAACTCCAAGAGTATCACTTGAAGTCAGTTACTAGTGAGCATATGATGAGGAGTCCCATACTAGGACGAAACAGCAATCCAATGCTTCGAGGTTTTCCATGGTGGTCTAGCTTCAATTAACTCATGTTTTCAATCAGTGAAATTTCAAATATTTGTTTATTTCGCTAAATATACAAGGAATTTCATAATAATCATGTTCTACTATATTATCTTTTTTTATTAATGTTATTCGAAATAGTTGTACCTAGGATATTCGACTTTGTATTGATTGATCATTGAGAAAGTGGTGAATACCATGTTTATCTAGTTCTTAGTGCTAATCGAGTTCCAACAACCAATCTGTTATCTGACTTACTTACTTACGCCTGTTATTCCTAATGAAGCATAGGCCACCGACCAGCATTCTCCAACCCACTCTGTCCTGTGCCTTCTTTTCTAGTTCCATCCAATTCTTGTTCATTTTTCTCATGTCTATGTCCATCTTCCGGCGTAATGTGTTCTTTGGTCTTCCTCTCTTGTCTTGACCTTGAGGATTCCATGTGAGGGCTTGTCTTGTGACGGAGTTAGGTGATTTCCTTAATGCGTGTATTATCCACTTCCATCGCGAGAAGGCAGTGTATAGATGCAGCCATGTGAGAGCATTTCGAGCGAGAGAACTGACTCTCCCTACCACCTACCGTACCATGGCATTTTATCACTATCATCATTATTTTTTATTTTTTGATAATAAATTATTTTTACATAATGTAGCATAGTTTCTAGTGTGTTGTTGCATGCAGGAAATTCCACATTACTAGTATGTTTTATTGATTGAGTATGTATAGATTAGTTTAAAGTTGTAGAAAAAATGATTTCCCTCTTTTCTGGATAGTTTTTTCTTTGAAGCTAGTTTTTAGCTTCCATTTCTTTTTGACTGAATTTTTGTGACTTGGCTTGTTGCCAAAATATAGTTTTAAGCGGGAAAAATCTATAAACAGAACAGTCATTCTATTTACTTATTGTTACTTGTTGTAAGCAAAAAAGGAGTAGAATACAATTTCCGTCTTGTATTTTTACTTTGAATATAGCATTGCTATCCATCCTGATCGTATTACTGTGGCTACTGGTCAGTCTGCAGGACATGATAAACAGTTTGGAAAAGTGAGTACTGTTTTTTCTTCTGTCAGTTTTTAATTATGTGATACTATTACGGAGAATGTGTAATGCCGATGAAGTCAGATATGTAGAGTTTCATATAATAGTACAGCGTATTCACTAAATAATCATTGGATAAAATGTCTAGAATACCTTTTTCCCATTTTATGAAATGGTGAGTAACATCGGAGGTACATCCTGCGATCATTGACACGGAACAAGTTCTTAAGGTCATTGATTGTTGTGTTGCGCTGTGTATCACGGAGCTCAAACGTTAGTTGTGAAATTACAGATGGGACAAACTATTGAAAAAAGTCAATGATTTACCTACTTAATGTCTCAGCCTACGTGTTATAGTCGAATCGGACCTCAGAAAACAACAATGATTTCATATTTCTCAGTCTTATGAGTTCTTTTGCACTCTATTCTCTTTTTTTACATAATACTGAAGATACTGATTTTACTACGATTACTCTAATTTCCATCTGGAAGAACTTGGACTGATATATATGTGTATACGAAGCACACTTCGTTTTTATCCTTAATCAACTGAATTATTTCTGTTCTTTTTTAATACAAATAACTACATGACATACATACCTCGTAAAATACGGTAATCTGTGGAATCTGTTTAACTCCAATTCCCCAGTGAAAATTACGTCCTTATACGTATCACTGACCCACAAAGTGAACAGAGAAAATATTGGAAAATGTTGAACTTCGCACTTTTATTGAATGTCAAAAGAGATGGTTCCAATCACTGCTCCAATTCGTCCGTAATTGTGTAGTTTTTGTTACGTTTATGAAATTTTAAGCGACTTAGTTACTTCCGCCTTCTTAACTGTTAATGAGTTGCAAGTTTTCGGTCATCATATATTGAATTTAGTAGAAAATTTCAATAGTTGTTATCTTACATATGAGTGATTCGTCAGTAAATTATACTTTTGCCTTTCCAATGAACAGAAGAATACTTGAAAATGCTAGATATCACAACTTTATAAAATACTGAAACAGGATAGTTTTCCTCACACCTGACTGATCTGTCATATCTGACTGTACAGTTAATTGTTCACCGAAATGGTGAAAAATTCTGAAAACTGTAAATTTAAGATTAAATTGTATTTGGCCGAAATTTTGAATTTTTTTTAAAAGAAAATACTTTCTTAAACTATATTTTGGATATCGTCATCGTTACTGATATATTATTTATAGTTGCCTAGCAACATGTTGTATATCTTCTCTAACAGGTTATTAATTACAAGATACGAGTATTTGACTATGAAAACCCAAACATCTATTCAGTGTATTAATCTCAGTTAAATAATTCGATTAGCAAACGACATAGCGTATTTGCAACCACCTCTTTAGTCAAATAATTTTATATTGACAAGTGCAGAAGATAATTAGGAAAAGATAGATAATGTACAAATAAAAAATTATGTCACATTGTGTTGTCGGTAATCATTTGATGTCTTTAATATGCTGAGAATATAAGATTTCAAAACGTATATAAAGTTTTAATTGGTATGGTTCAGACATATTATAAGTGAAGCAGTAGTCATCAATGGAACTTAATAAATAAACATCGTCACATATCCTGAAGTGATGGACGCTGACCCTGTGGTTTTAATGGTTAAGTGTTCTTTGCAACATCTGAAGATCTTACGTTTGACTCCTATCGGCGATGTGGATAATGCCAAGAAGTCTTATTCTTAGATGAAACATTTGTTCAGTGTTCTCTGGTTTTCATTGATATCCCAACTGAGATTAATCTGTGACATAAAACTTACCAATTAAATTCTATCTCTTAGATTCTATCTCTTTCGTTAAATTTTAATGATCCTGTTACTTACTCCATAACTGATGATATTTTTAAAATGTTATCTAAATAATTTATCCTCCTCCATAGTTTTCGTCTTTCGTCAATTTCTTTGTTTACTGTTGGTCCTTAAGTTTCATCTAATCGGTAATTGAGATGTTTTTTCGTTACTTTGAATTGTTGTGTCCAGTAACGAACTACTGAAACTAAGTCAACGTTTTTCCCCTAGTTGTGGACTTCACAATACTACACATCTCTTCATTAAGTTAAACCCAAAACATTCATGCTTTGCTGAGAACATCATGCCTTTAGACCATTGAGTTGGAATATTATAGTCTCATTACACTCAGTCTGTGATATGACATAATCAGTCTATTAGTCAATCATAAGCAACGTAGAACCTGGTATAGACTCATATCAGACCAAGTTATCATATCATATCACTGTAAGATGGGATAAAAAATCAATATCAAGATGGCAGGAGTAGTAAGATTAGTACAAATCGTAGTATAAGAATATTAGTAGGGATTCTATTTGGTTTGGGGAATAATGAAATCGTGAAACGAAATGCATGAAATAGTTTTTAGAAACACAAGATCTGGGACCATAAAGTAAATGAATACGTCCATCTTCACCACTCCGGTTGATTTTGGAACATGTCACTCAACATCTTTAACAATCAGTAATTATTATCGTATGTGAATCTTAATCAGATAGTCTTCATCTATCAAAACAACTCAAACCAAAAGTTATAGATTTTCTCGTTCTATGCCTATATCATAATCCACCTATTTCTAGTTTTCTTTGTGAGTCCACTCTCCCTCTCGAAATGCTCTCATATGGCTACGTCTATACAGCCACTACCACAGAAGTCCTATTCACTGCCTTCTCGCGACATTACTTTCGTTCACGAAATTGAGAGGATGAAAAGCGAATGTCCGATGCCTTAACTGGGTTAGTGGATATGGAGGATCCACCTAGACGAGTTGGAAAATCCTGATTCCAAATCAATAGTGCACATGAATTCCAGGATACTGAGGGAACAAATGACATGTGAACCTATTGTTGGTCACCGACTACCATGGAATTGGACCTCCTAACGTTGTTCCACTGCTTTATGAATTAGTCCTCTAGATGAATGGTCGGAGGAGTGGTTGGTCTCCTACGAAAACCACCTGATTCAGTTTGGACACCCGGACAGAATCTTTGTCTTCACACACAAATCGAATGATGAAGTGTGGCGCACGTATATTTAGTGACTCCTTGTACTGATGTTTATGTGTTTACATAAATATTAACATATGGTTAATGTTCAATTATTTTCAATGATAATCAACTGTAGTACAATGTTGTATGCGGTTTATTTTTAATGAATGATACTTTTTAATGATATCAATCATGAAACGGATAAAAATGGATGAGAAAACAATGTAACTATTTTTTTATTGTGTGGGTCGTGAAATTAATACAACATAATGTTCTCTCTCTATTATGTCTCTTAATTGATTATTGACAAGGAATTTATTTATCAAAATAGAAGTGAATTAGAAAGAATTATATTTTAAAATGTTCAGGCATTCATACAATAGTAATGAATTCATCAATCTACTGTTTATTGACACAGTAGAAGATATACGAGAAGTCATTAGTGTATTTGAAATGAAATAGATCTATTAAGGAAAATGTTTTACATCACGGATAGAGTTTAGTCTATATAACCGCCCCCAAATCCCCTGGTACAGACGGGAGATGAGAGTCCGCTCTCTCTCTTGAAATGCTCTCACATGGCCACACGTATATAGCCTCTGCCAGAGAAGTCCTACTCACTGCCTTCTCGTGACCGGGGTGTTGTTTACGGAATTGAGAGGACGAAAAGCAAATGTCTGGCTCTTTTTAACCGGGTTGGTGGACACGGGGAGTTCACACAAGAGAGTTGGAAAACCATCATTCCAAACCAATGGTACACATGGGTTCCAGTATCCTGAGGGAACAAATGGTGTATGAACCAATCGTTGGTGACCGGCTACCATGGAACTGCATCTCCTTACGCTGCTCAATTGCCTTGTGGATTAAACCTATTGGTTAAAGGCTCCAGGTGTGGCTTCCTAAGAAAACCACCTGCTCCAGTCTGGGCACCTGGGCAGTATCACAGCCCACACACAAATCAAACGATTTGTGTGGCACATATGTATTCGGTGCCCCTTTTTTACCAGTATTTATGTGTTCAAATAAACAAATATAGTTATTATATAACTATTAAGTAACCCAGTTTATATATATATAGTGGTATTTCTTTTATCATAAGCTTCCATTTGACTTACAGGCCATTGTTATACGATTTATCATTCCTAATTTATTCCCAATTTATTAACAACAGTATCCTAAACTCACAACCACGTTTTTGGCTTGATTTTGTATAATAATTATTTTTTGTCATTTTATGGTGTGATGCGATCTGGTCTGTTTAAATAGAATCCAAGTATATCTGTAATATACGATTCATACAGTGATTTTTAAGATTGTGTTCTGGACTCAGTAGGAAGGGCTAGTAGAGAAGAACTAATAAATATTCAGAGCCATTTCAAGACTGCCATTTCTGGTTGATTCATAATTAGATTAACACAGGTACAAGATCATACAATTCCATATATGGATTAGCGATTTTGTCACATGATAATTACAAAGGCAAAAGCACACAGTTACTACTTAAATCGGTTTATAATGAATTGAAACAATCCATCTTAAAATGTTACTTGAAAAAATTAAGTATAATATCATCAAAATAATTCAATTCGAATAAAAGATTATATACAGCATTTGGAAAAAAAGGAAAATCATAATGAAACAGTAAAAAGATTTGTAACTAACTTAATTGATTTGATTAAAAAAAATAAATCTGTGTCGGGTAGAAACAAGTGTCTACCTCAGTACAATGTTAGATGGTCGCGCAACTTCGTGGATTGGTTGAGACTAGACATTAACACCATTGGATGCCGGTTCAGTGGTCCGGTAGGTTAAGCGTTCGCGCTCGAGACTGAAGGCCCTGGGTTCGAATCCTGCGAGCGGGATCGTGGATGCGCACTGCTGAGGTGTCGCACAATAGGACGAAACGGCCGTCCAGTGCTTCCAGGTTTTCAATGATGGTCTAACATCAATCGGTTCATGATCTCAATCAAAAACTTAACAATCTCCACACCCCCCTAAACTGAAAATTGATTATTTATTGAATAGAATATATTTTCAATAAAGTTGTTGTTAAGTGTACTTCTTTAATATAAATTTCAATGATCCTCATACAATATAATATGGTATTGACTATTTATTTTACATTTGATTATATTGAGATTGGAACTAAATGATATAAAATATTTTCTAAGAGAATGCAAATATAGTTTAAAAAAACGGATCGTAAATTCAATCTTTAATCATGGAACTTCTTACTTAAAATGTTAACAAATATACAATTAGTATCCAATGTGGTTTAGATTGTCAGACAAAAGTTAATCGAAGATGTATAAGATGTACAAGATAAACATGATTACTAGTTCACAAGTACTTCATTATATTTAATATCTATGACAATGTATTTGTTATGTGATGGTCTTATCAGGGCGGCCTGCTTGAGCATCTGGGCTACCTGTTCCTGCCATCTAGATATTTCAACAAGTTATCTATTGTTGTTTGTTTTAATATATCATTATGTTTATTAATCGCATATCCTATTCTGCTGCGTTTCTGAAAAGTGTACAACCTTTCGTTGTCAAAGTTACAGAAAACTCAATAAGAGACAATATGGTTGCTGGCAATGTACAACGAAAAGAATGTACATTATTCAGTTGTTCACTCACTGAAGTGCTAACATCTAACTGGCGATTCCTCAATATTTATCGCTAGGACCGACCAAGAAGAAAGAAACGGAAACTTGTTGAAATACTTTGCGCTGAGAATTCTATATTGTACCAAAATTATAATATTGAATAAAGCTAATAATAATAATAATAATAATAAGTAACTGTAAAACAGTTTGTATACACATTAGAAGAAACAAAATTTAAGCTAGAGCTATAGTGAAATGATATCAAACAAGTTTACCAAATAAAAGTCCCTATTTGTCACTGAGTTAATTTAACTGTCCAACTGTGTCAAAACATGTTCAACGGTGTTAAATGTAAATAAATTGAAGAGAAAAAAAATCACGCGCGAGTCCGAACGTCCTGGGTTCGAATCTCGCGAGGAAGGATCGTGGATGCGCACTGGTACGGAGTCCCATACTAAAACAAAATATCCGTCCAGTGCTTCCAGGTTTTCAATGGTGGTCTAGCTTACATCGACACATGAATTCAACTATTACAATCATTACAATCTCCACAAACCTCCATTATAAAAAATCACTATTGCAACTGTTCTCATCAGTAAGCTATACTTACAAAACCATATTGATATGGAATGGTAATGTAGTATCATCATCAGCATTAACATGATCAATTATATCTTTTACCATCTTTTATTTTTCTTTTAACAAAATAAAAAAAATTGTTTCCCGGTTTTTACCTTAAATTATTTACAAACAAATAAATCTAGCCACATGTACGTATTTGGAGTTCAGTCGATTTGAAAACACTGAAAATTATTGGTTTAGGCGAATTTGAACGTTCAGTTTGTTGTTTGTCTTTTTCAAAAACGGTTAGTTTGTTTATTACTTTCTTTTGTGTTTTTTTCTCTTTTGTTATTCCTATTGTTATTATGACTCTATAAATGATCTATCGTTGTTATTCTAATTTCAATGGTTGAGATGATGGGTCATTTGAAGCTAGACCACCATAGAAAACGTGGAAGCGCTGGACAGTCGTTTCGTCCTATTTTGGAATTCCTCAGCAGTGCGCATCCACGATCTCGCCCCCCTGCGAAATTCGAACCCAGAATCTATCGATCTCAACTACTAAAATTACTATAATATCCACAAAACCCCTTCTGATATAGTCAGAAGAGAGTTGTTTTGGTCTAGTCTACATCTTCGATGTGATATATGACTTAGTATGATCTTGAGACTTGCAACATGTGAGTTCGATTCGTGACTGTAGGGCCTTGAGGACAGACAGAAAAAAGAACCATCCTACCACTGACCTATGATTTGATAGGTTGACAAACAGAGGGAGAGTGAGAGAGCGGGAAGTGTTAGAATATCTATTCCTGGTTCAAACTAACTCAAAAGGTGCATGAGTGGTTGACTAACAAAACCAAAATACGCAAGAAATGAGAAAAATACAATCATATGCAAACTAAAATATAGGAGAATCAAGTGAAATAGCCCACTAAAAATAGCTCCAATTATTTGTCATTGCCTCCTTATTTCTCTCTTCACACTTCGGCATCGTCAAAGTTAAGTATATTTGCCTAGTCAGTTTGGTTTTAGGTTTAGTTGAATCATAATCATCATGAATAAAATTATTGACCATTATTTCTTCGTGTTTTTCAAGTATTAGCAATTGGCCAACATAGAATGGGATAATAGATTTAGAATTCAGACATTCGCTTCTGAGCAGTTCACCATATGTTCGAACACCTCCGTATTTAAACTGTTTTAGGCTGACCTATAATATCACTAGATGACCTTAGACATGGAATGTGTATCAATGTCGAGTTTGATTGATTAGTTGTAATATTTGGTAGAGAGAGGCTGTCACTTAATCTCAAGTTTAAGACTCTACTACTTTGATTTATCTAACCCGACGGTGTTAAATGAAGTTTAATTTAGTCTGGATTACATGAACATATACTTAGTTACTAAGTTTCAATCTCAGGTTAATAAATTACCAAATTGAAGAGTTTTAGTGACCCCATATCTGACTCCAGTTAAATCGTGTGCTTATTGTTATCGAAATATATATACCGCCGATCCTCGTATACTTTTATCGACTTAATTCGCATTGGAGAATAACGGAATAAAATAAGCCAAACACGAAAATAGATTTTGAATACGTATACTACGCACACACTGATCCGGACATACAATTAGGGAAGCGAAACGAAACGAAACGAAGTGACGTGCAGAGGAAATGGCTAGTGAGCCAACCGGATTTAATCAAGCGTGACTCAATATTTATATTCAGACAAAAATAAATTACATACACAATGACTAGGGTAAGCGATTAACACACAAATGGTCATTTAAAAAACAGTCAGGGTTAGTAAGTAAATGATTGACGAAGTCAAAAGTGGCTTGAGAAGAATGAATATATTGGCCTGTCCATAAGCTAGAATAATAGCCTACGTTGGCTTGACATAGTACCAGCCACTACAGTTTTGATCGACTTATTCAAGTAGAATTTTCATAATTCATGTGATAAATGTAGTTAGTGATATGCTTTGTAATGATCAATGGATTTCATTTTTGTTCGGTTTATAATTAGTACGATTGAGTTATTTTTAAAGTATTACCATCTCATAGAAAAATACTAATTCTTAAGCAAAGATGGGTAGTGGCTAGCAGTGGAATCCAGGACGCGTATTTCATCCTATTGGATTCGAGTCCTGGAGTGAAAATCAACTCTGGGATGCAAGTACATCCAGATGACGAGTCCCAAATGGGACTAATCGCTCGTCCTGGATTACTCTGCTAGCCATCATCAATCTTTGTTTATAATGTTTGCGACTTAAGGCAATATCGAGGCAATCCGTAAAGGATGCACATACGTTTATAAGAGAATGATCAATTACAATCCTAAATATCAATGGGAAGATTCAAATAAACAATGCAAAATGAATTCAAATAATTCTTGTTTATCCTTGATGCTACATCATTGTTTTAATTAAATGTTGTTGAATATGCTGCATCCTCTATTACCTTGGTGGTGCGAATTTTCTTGGATAACTTATTATAATGGTAATGGTAATCTGTGTTTCATCTTTACGTTTAATTAAAATGTATGTATATGTGAATATGACAACTTTGACTTGAGACCAGTGATTCCATCGCTTCTTGGTTTTTGATGATTTTCCAGCTGATTTCAAGTCGGTGATAAAAAGTCTACTCAAATTTGACGAAATTTCGATGGTTATCTATCTACAAGAGAATATATATATATATATATATATATATATATATATATATATATATATATATATATATATATATATATATATATATATGTATATAACTTCCGTCATGGATACAGTCCATTACTTTGTTTTCCAATAGTAACATGTTGAGTGAATAAAAATTGATGTAATAATTCAGTTTCATTTTGTGTTTTATCGTTGTTGGCTTGTATTTATTTATCGTTTTGTTAATCAAACTATTTACTTTTATAGGATAGCGGAGTTAAATTATGTGCAGTTGACGAAGCTACAGATCATGTAATTTCAATATGGGATTGGCAAAAAAGTCGCAAAATAACGGAGACTAAAGTAAGATACTAATTAATTACATATTTTCCAAGCTATATATGTGTATAAATATACTTCAGATACTCCTCATTACTTGTGTCGACGGAGGTTATCTGGAACATTTTCAGCGTTCAATGTGTATGTCGTATCCTCCAGTACTAGCCATTCATCTGTCCACTTAGTGTCTGGGTTTCGCATATTAGAGTATATTTTGCACTATATATTTCATTTCAAGAAACTAGGGCTATTCACAACTTTCTCTTATGAATGCATCAGCGTAGCGCAGCTCCACATGAAGAATAAAAGCCATCGGTGTAATGAAAATTACGGTTCGAAGTGAAACCTCTAACGAAAAATACATTCTGATGTCTAGCGTTCGCTCACTGAATGAACGGAAAAATGAGAAAAACTTCCGTATACAGCACACTTAGTAAACAATGAACATATCGCGGATATCCTGATCCCTTATGTTATATCCCGATGGGAATAATGATTAGTAACTGTTGGAATCTATTTCTGGACTAATACAATACATATATTTTTATCGCATATTTATTGGGTAACTAAACTATTCATATTCGTGTTTTTCTTATTCTGAGCTTTATTTTGACCTATGAACTATTATTATACGACTAACCATTCTTGAATTATGCCCAGTCTATCAATTACTATCTCCCACATTCGTAGCCACTCTTGGCTAGGTCTTGTACAAATGTTATTTCCTATTTTATGGTGCGATATGATCTGTTTGGTTTGTATATAAACCCAGTATGTTTGAAATACATGATTCACATCGCAGAGGCTGAGATTAGTGTTCTTGACTTAAGAGGCAGGGCTAGGCAGGATGTAGAACCGATAAAGACTCTTGACTGCTCGTACGGTTTTATGCGTCATTTGTGCGGTCGATAAATCACTGTTCTATAATTGGCAGTATGAATACGTTATATATTAATAGGGCACAAAACCACAAGTTATAACACCTTATCCCTACTAAATGTCTGAGTGTTAAATTTCTCGCTTTTTGAGGGAAATCAATAATGTATTTGACTCATATAGATAAAGATCTGCTACTTAGTCCACACTTCCATTCTGATGAGCAGTCAAATCTCGTTTAAGAAAACAACGTTAATTTATTTTGTATTTGTGAATAAGATTCATCACCCACCAGTCTACTTGAGGTCTTAAAACTTAGAAGATTATTTGGAAATCTTACTTTTAAACTTAGTATATTGACACAACATTTCTTACTCACTAAAACTAAGTTTTTAGTTATACTTACTAACAACATGCAGTATGTATGATTTCTTGTTGCAAGTTATTACAAATCTTTAATTTCCATATATATACGTACTTAATTTTTAACTGTATATCATGAATTTGGGTTTATTTTGCTTTGTTACGATTTACTATACTGTACCTACAAGTGTACACAATTGCATGTTTACATTCATCGTCGTTTACATATGTTCACAGGAATTTGGTTGTTTGTGTACATAACTACCAGGGCAGTCCTACTCACTGTCTTTTCGCGGTGAGGGTGTTGTTTAACGAAATTGAGAAGACGTAGAGGTAATGTCCGGCGCCTTAACGGTGTTGGTGGGTACGGAGGATCCACCTAGTGAAATAGGAAAACCCTAATTTCAAAGCAATGGTGCACATGAGTTTCAGAATTATGAGGGAACAAATGACGTATGAACTTATTGTTAGCCACCGGATGCGATAGGACTGGATCTCCTAATGTTGCTCCATTGCCTTATGTATCAGACTTCTAGATGAAAGGTCTGGAGAATGGTCACTTAAGGAAACCACCTGCTTCAGTCTAGGTACCCGGGCAGTACTCCTACCCTCACACACAAATCGAGTGATGAAGTGTGGTGCATATATATTTGGTGCCTCGTGTACTGATGTTTACATGTTTAAATAGTAATAACTATAACTGTTTTATAATAATAATATGAATATGGATGTGAATATGAATACATTGTAGTTAAAATCCAATTTGATAAAAAAATTAATGTCATAATTAAACTTTAAGACTCGCCTAGTGCAAAATTTACTTTGAACTTATAATCTAAATTAATATTTTACATGAAGGGTTGTTTATTTATTTAAAAGATATTGATAGTTATTACAAACATTGGGCGTGAATCACATATCCGCCAGTTATAAGATAAGACAATGTTGTACTCTTCTATGTATTGATTACAAATATATACGCCAGTGCAATCCTCTAATTCAATAATTTCAAAGTAATATGTTCGTTGGGTAACTTGATTGTTCTTCTGTCGATCTTTTAGGGGTGTCATAAGTATGCATTGTTAAGTCCTTTGTTAAGATTAAAACAACTATCTAGTGTTTTACCTGTTTTATCGATACTTCCTTCAGTCAATATCAATTTGTAACTCATCAAGTACATATTTGTGTGCTCGGCTTTGAACTCGACTTTATATCTGTAGGTTAATGATACTACCCGGTTAATCAGATCGAAGTAAGTTAACTGGTACTCGGGACCTATTGGTTACGAGTTGAATCCCTGTACTATTAAGTCATTGCTCCATATCGATCCCTCCATCTGTCTGTTTCTTTCTCTCTCTCTCTCTCTCTAAATATATATATATATATATATATATATATATATATATATATATATATATATATATATATATATATATATGCAATGAATATAGTATCTCACTTTTTCTCACAACCCCCCCTCTCTTCATCACTTCATCTTACTGGCTACACGTTTAGCAACATCTAATCATTTTACAATACCATTAGAAATTATTTTTGTTTTTACTATCCATTGAGATTAGTATTGATTAGTTTTTATTTTCTAAAATTACCAGTACGTGTTATATTTATACAACAGTAGGCAAAATATAATACCTTTCAATTCTTTGCTTTTTCATTGTGAAATAAACATTTTTGTATGAACAATTTCTGTATGAAATGTTGTTAGTTCGTAAGATTCTGTTGGGAATTATTACCAAGTAATTTTATGTATTGAAGTGATAAATGATTGAAACTGCTGTTAAATTTCATGGTAGTCTCTGTTGGGGACGTTAGATCCCCAGAACTCAGTTGAGAAAGGACCTAATTTTGTAATTTTATTTAGAAAATTTGAACTTCTTTGTTTCCGCACCAAAGGCGCTCTTGTCACCTTCATGTCGTATTTCCCACTGGGAAATATCTTAAATGCTATTGATCCGTTGCATCTTTTAGTATGCTATTTGGTAACTCTCTCGAAGGACGGTTTTACACTGTATATATACGTTTTGAATTGTGTTTGTTTTTATCGCTTGTTTCTGGCAGTTTGCAGAATATACTTCCCCATTTCAAGCTTGGATTTCTCTCTCTAGTTAGCGGGGCTGGGACGCATCAAACAGCTAGCTTACTGATCTTTGGTCACCGAGTCTTGTTCTCGTTTGCCGTTTAAGTGAACTCTTGATAGCTTCAAACCTATCAGTCTCCAAGATAACTGACTCTAGTGTAGATCGATAAACAGTAAAAAAAATACTGATTGTATTGAAAAGCAGTTCATTCTAGTTTAATATTATTTATGAATTATCGACCTTAAAATAAAGTAATACTCGGGGTGAGTATAATACGGAGTCTGTATTGTTTTCGTTTTTAATTCCAATTTATCAGCACAAAATCTCGTAAATTATAAAAAGTTTCCTTTTGTTCCCATTCATTTATGATTTGTGATGCTGCGACGTTTCACACGTCAACGCAGAATTTCATTTCAGTAACAAGATGAATAACGTACATATAGAAATATCAGTAGTAGTATTTGTGATTATCAGAAATACGAACTATTGTAACTGAATCAAAATGTGTATAGAAGAATACTGGAACGTATTATCAAATCAGATGATAGAAAGTGAAAGTTTCTAATTGAAGCTTTTTCGTATCGGTTTTCGATTTCATTAAAAGATTCTAGCTGAATAGCGTATGTGTATCCTAATTTTTTTCGAATTCATGATCATTTTGTTTATTACTTGTTTTGAATTAGGAATTCTTATAACTTTAATCGTTTAGTAATAATAATAGTGTACACCGCTTATATTTTTCTCTTGTATTGAGATATCATACATTGTAGTGTTTACTCATTACCTTAATCTCAAATAACATAGAGGTGATCATATCTGAAGTGCAACAGTGAACCTTTATGGTTGGTTAAAGAAAAACGTCATAATTCGTAGTAACTTATATCTGCTCCTCATTATTGTCTGTTTGTGACTAGCAGCAATCAGTTACTAAATAAATGATGTATATGTATATATAACTATCATAGTAGTGTTAGTGTAATATCTGTAATATTATTGAAGTCGTGAATTTGCCTAAGATAGACCACCATTGGAAACCTGGAAAAATTGGACTGCCGTTTCGTCCTAACATGAAGCTCCGCAGTAATGGGCATTCGCGACCCCTCACACAGAAAATCGAATCTAGGACCTCTGGTCTCGAGCGCTAACACTTAATATCTAGACCACTGAAGCGGCATCCGATGGTATTAATATCTAACCTAAATCAGTGGCCAGTGGAGCTAAATCTTGTTGAGTGCGAGGCAGTTACTCACCGAAAACAGTGGAAAATAGTTACGAAATTTCGTGAATTGGTTGAAGTTAGAAATTAATACCATTGGGTCCCGGCTCAGTGGTTTAGAGTTCAAGCGTTCGTGTGCGCGATACCGAAATTCCTGTATTCGAGTCTTGTTTGCAAGATAATGAATTTGCGGTCCTGAGGAGTCCCATACTTGAACAAAACAGCCTTCCAGTACTTCCAGGATTTTGATGTTGGTCTAACATTAACCGGTTGATGATTTCATTTAAACATCTTTTCGATTGTCTGTTTCAATATGTTTATTAATTATCCTAAACAAAGAAGGTGATTTAAATTAATTTTATCACTTAGTTCCATACAACGTGAACACATGACAATTAAATTCGTCATAGATTGGTCTCAGTTGGACTACTAATAAAAATCAAGAAGTTTCAGACAGTTGTTTCACTTTTGTACGAAACCCTCCAGCGGTGCGCACCAACGACCTAAACCATAGTCGAACATTAAATATTTTAGTCCTATGGCGAATAACTAAATGATAGAACTACTGTATTAGAGTTGAGCAATCCACATATTGAATAGCAAAAGTAGGCTTCATCTTATCTTTCAAGTACATCATATTGTACTTTGTCACTGATCTCCATGATATTAAAACTAAAAGAAACTTAACATTGATCGTTCACACACGATATCGACGGCCGTATGTTCGAACCCCGCTAGCGGGATTGTAGATGCACACTGCTGAAGAATCTCACAACAGGATAAAACGGTCGTTCAATACTTCCAGGTTTTCAATGGTGGTCTAACATTAATCAGTTCATGATCCCATTCAAAAACTTAATAATCTCTACGACCCTATACTGTGATAATTACACTGAACAATCTAAACGATATTCCATACTTACTTTGATTCTTTCTAAATTTTTATCATAAAAATAATGTTAGACTTCATCTACATGTATCATCTCATTAATATGCATAAGTAGTGACCTACATATATCATAATAATGATTGAAAATATCATTATAATTCAAACTTATTATTTATCAAAGTGTATTTCTTTTTCAATGTCACAAGATTTAGCTTTGTTTACATACAAAGGCCAAGTGTATGATAAAGTAATAGTAACTTAGTTAAAAATCAACCACATTTTTCATCTGAATTCTTCTAGGTTATTCTTGTGCTCTTCTTTTCTAACTAATGTACATTTTAATGAATGAATATGAAATATTCTAGTAATGAATAAAAGTTTAAAATAACCGAGACAAATTTTCATTTCTTCTTTTTAGCCAATTAAAAAGTAACTTTTAGTAAATGAAAAGTGAAACTATTGACATTACAAAGTGTAAATAGATCTAATGTAATGAATGGATGTATTTTATTTATTTATTTATTTAAACACATAAACATTGGTACAAGGAGGCACCAAATAGATACGCGCCACATAAATCATTCGGTTTGTGTGAGGGCTGTGATACTGACCGGGTACCCAGACCGAAGCAGGTGGTTTTCTTAGGGGGCCTCACCCTGAGCCTTAGATCTAAAGGTCTGACCCACAAGGCAGTGGAGCATCGTAAGGAGATGGAGTCCCATGGAAGCCGGTGATCAACAATTGGTTCATACGCCATTTGTTCTCGCAGGATACTGGTGCCCATGTGCACCATTGTTTTGGGATCCGGTTAAAGCGCCGGACATTCGCTTTTCGTCCTCTCATTTTCGTAAACAATACCGGTGCCACGAGAAGGCAGTGAGTAGGACTTCCGTGGCAGAGGCTGTATACGCGTGACCGTGTGAGAGCGTTTTGAAAGGAATTGCGGACCCGTCCCACTCCCGGCCATACCAGGGCATTTGGGGGGCTGATTTATCTACCTATGAATTGAACAATCTACGACTTATAAATTGGCCTATAAAAGTATAGATTATCCGTTTCTTTAAGTCTTTATGTTGAAACGATTCAGCACATATTGGTCTTGGTTAGAGTTAAGTATTTAGGGGGTGGTGGTTAGGATTAAGATTTTCTTCACAAACTGACATCAACTTTAGTGAGAAAAATGCTTTTTAGCAAATAGATGAATGAATTTTACCCGAAAATGTTAGAGGTAGAATCTAACTAGTTTTTCTTTAAAATTAATGCCAATGGGTTGAGGTTCATTTCAGGAATTGAGGATGTTTGGGGCTAAGTATTTAGGATTCGCTTGTTATATACAATTTACAGTGAATGAATAGAACAATTGATACGTTTGATAGTAATATTTTTACTGTATGGTGGCAAAAAAATAATTTATTCTTCTCATTTTAAACGTCTTAAGCAGTGCATCCAGGAACTATGGTTATGCTTTCGTTTATTTAGTTACTCAATTTTAGATAATTCGGAATAATTTCTCTTGAAAGTATGACTTTTGTTATGTTGTAATTTTTCGTCCATCAAGTGAGCTACACTTGACACGTCCGTAGCATAATGGATTAGTATTTTCGTCATAGAAAACTTTGCATTTTTCATGTAAGCCACCAAAATAATAGAGAATCTAATGCACTCTCCATCATGAATGACGTTAGTATAAATAATAATTCCCGTCTCATTTTGGTTGATTGCTCAGAATATGGTTAAAGTTTCGAAGGAGAGTGGAGTTTATTCTCATCCTTTTAGTTCCTCTCTTAAATGTTGCACTTTTGATTGTGAATGGCCTGTACCCATGTGGTGTGTGCTACTTATATCGACATAAGTAGTATATGATATTAGTCGTGAACAGAAGGTCTGGCAGTAGAGAGACAAGATGATCGAACAGTAAGAATGGCAACAAAATGCAATTTGCATGAAAATGCGAGAACAATGAAGTCTGAGTCATTTTGAGGCAATTGGTGGACATTTTGCAAATTAAGCATTTACTTTATGATTGTAAGATTTATTTAACAAGTCCTGTAATTTTGTGTTAAATACAGTCGATTGTCCCCACCCGTGTTCTGTTCACTACACCTATACTATACTTTTACTATTCTTGTTGTTGTTGTTAATGATCATTTCTGACTCTTTTTCGGTTTTTCATAATCAGATATTAAATATCATTAGTAAAGACTGCGAAAATAATTTTTTCTTTCCGAAATCAATTATGTAAATCTAATGTCTTATTTTTACAAGTGAACTCTTGACATTGTCTTCTAACCACTTTCTAGTAGATGACTGACTGACTTTTTAGTTTCCTAGAAATCTCCTACAATTGGATCATAAGTAACAGAAAAAATTCAAAAAGAAGTTTTACATCTGAAATTAGTCTATATGTAAAGGGTACAATATAATACAGTGTACTAGGGTTGAAGATATCACGAGTTCACTTAATCTGCGAATGAGAAACAAGACTCGGTGACCAAAGACCAGTAAGCTAGCTATTGATGCGTCCCAGCCCCTGCAAACTGCCGGAAACGAGCAATAACAACAAAGACAATTTAAAACGTATATATACAGTACAAAACCGTCCTTCGAGAGAGTTACCAAATAGCATACTAAAAGATGCAACGGACCAATAGCGTTTAAGATATTTCCCAAGCGGGAAATACGACATGAAGTTGACAAGAACGCTTTTGGTGCGAAAATAATGAAATTCAAATTTTCTAAATAAAATTACAAAATTAGGTCCTTTCTCAAGTGAGTTCTGGGGATCTAACTTCCCCAACACAGTGGCAAGTCATAAGAATTCACCTTAACCAAGAATAATTTGATATTGACATATTTAAACGTATTATGATTTTGATTGTACTAAAAATATTCTGCATTGTTTTCTTTTTTGTATTATTTAAATTTTTGTTGATTTTATTCCGGTTATTTATTAACTCTGAAGAAGTGGCTTACATTAAATCACGAAACATCGTCAGAAATACGATTTTTCTACTTGATGATATATTACTTACTTACTTAGGCTTGTTACTCTTAATGAAGCATGGGCCGCCGACCAGCATTCTCCAACCCACTCTGTCCTGTGCCTTCTTTTCTAGTTCCATCCAATTCTTGTTCATTTTACTCATGTTTATCCCCATTTGCCGGCGTAATGTGTTCTTTGGTCTTCCTCTCCTTTGACACAATTGGATGCTTTCCTCAATGTGTGTCCTATCCACTTCCAGCGCTTATTGAGATATAACAAAACGTATTTATTATCAAGTATGTATTGCTTTTAATTGAAATAAAATGCATCATTTTGAATTTTTAATAAAATTTATTGTTTAAACGAAAATTCGTTTCCTCTTTTCTTTTTTTTTTTTACTTCTCAGTGTTCCACAGAACCAATAACAGCTGTTGAATTTCATCCATTAGATGATGCAACCCTTGTAACTGGTGGTAAAGGTCATTTAGCATTTTGGACATTTGATGGATGTACACTAAGTAAAAAGATGGGAATATTTGAAGTAAGTTAAAAAGTAACAATAAGAAAATGATGCTTGTTTATTTTAATCAATAGTTATTTCAATAAAGTTCTTTTTTGATTCTTTTAAAAAGAGCAAAGTTAAAGGATTATTATTATTATTATTGATGATGGCTTTATTCAATATTATATTTTTGGTACAATATGGAATTCTTAGCTTGAAATGTTTCAGCAATTTTCTTCTTATTATTTTTTGATCGATCTTGACGATATATATTGAGTGATTGCCAGTTAGATGTTAGGCAGTTCCACGAATTAACATCTGAATAATGTTCATTCTATTCAATGTATATTTTGCCAGCCACCATGATGTCTCTGATTGTACTTCTTTTGTAACTTGTACGGTGAAAAGTCGTAAACATTTCATAGATGCTCCTAAATAAGTTCTGTGATTAATAGACATAATGATGATTTGTTGAAAGAAATATCTAGACGGTAAGAACAAGTCGCTCACATATTCAAACAGGTTACCTTAAAGATATGATTGAGGTAGTATGATATTATTCCACTTTATTGGGTTAGGTTCTCTTCAACTGATACTTATCAACTTATAATATATATTTTGAAAGTTAAACTTCACATTACTTAAAACTGTGTAATTAGTTGGATGTGGATTTATATCGCAGTATGATAAAATGTTCAGTTCGAATTGATGCAAAGAAGTAATATAAACAATGTAGTCAATTAATATAATATGTAATACAAGATTCTAGATCATCAGGAACAGAACACGAGATCATACAGCCAATTTAATGTTGTAAGCGAACATAAATTAATAGTTATTAAGAATAATATGAGTTCAGATCAGTCGGTTGAAAATAAATTGTTGAATTTTTTCAGGAAGAGATGATGTAATTAAAAGATGAGAAAGCGTTGCAAGAATATTGTGTGATCAACTGATGATGACGTCAAAATATTAAGGAAAGCTTCCCACTATTTCCTTTTTGGATATATAAATCTGGCTTTAGATATTTGACGGCTGTGACTTAAGCGGATTTGTAGTGACTAGACTTTTATTATCACTTGACGATCTTGAAAGATTTCAGTATAATGTCAACTTGCTGTTGAGATGTTGGAGAAAACTTTTAGGTCAGGTGGATAATTATGGTGGAGTTTTGTTCTCTGAACTAGATGGTTTGGTCACTGAGTTCTCATTGTTCTCGTGAATAATCATGGATCAATATGGGACCAATAATCAAATCAATCGAACATTCAATCAAAATAAAGAAGTAAACAGTAACAAGTTAAAGGTCAACACTAACCGATCAAGATCGAGGTCGACAGGACAAGCTGTGCGTCATATGTGGAGAACACTTCACTTGAAGTTTGTGCTGATGATGTCGTTCAGAAGAACAATGAAACCTTCACGACAAAACCAACCAGTTCAGAGAAAAAAACTCCATCCAAACCAACTTGTTCTTGATCCTGTTCTCATAAAATATTCAGAACACAAAAATAAGTGAGAGAACAATTGTTTTAAGTAAATTCTATCATCAGGCTTTACAGCTTTAAATCCATAATTGTTGTGTTATTTTACAATGGTCAAAATAAACCACGTTAGTGAAGAGAATAATGTTGTTGTTGTGTGTAAGAAATAGTGAACTGTTGCATTTACCACTGTGTATAAAAACTTCAAACTGTACCGTTTGTAAATTAGAAAGGTCAGTTACAAATAGTGTAATGGATTCGTTGTAAGTTATCACTCAATCAATGTAATAATAATAATAACTGGTATGGATATGGAAATTTGGGTGAAGTGATAATTTAAATAGTCTGTTCAATAAATACACAGTCTGAGATCTATATTTTACTGAATTCAAAGTACATTAAAGCATCCCCTCAAGAATACAATAGATTTATTGCATCAAAACTTCCATTTATGTTTTCATTGTCTAAAAATCATCCATGAAAGTCTTCTAATGTCAAGATTTTCAGTCGCCTCTCCATATCACATTTTGTTTCGTCACACATCATCTCATTTTTGTTTCTCTATGACAAGTGCATATTTGGATAACAAAAAAATATCACTCATAGAGCTGCATTTAGTGATTAGAAATTGTGACTTAGTCTAGTGATCAAAATAGCACCAAGAAATTCAATGGTTATCATTGATTAATATGTAGGCCAACTGCCATTGTACAACAGCCATAACCAAATAATTCTAGTTGCTAATTTAGCGTATTTATTGACAGGCCTTTGTGGTAATTAGTGCGGTTGACTTTAAAATATTGAGTTCCGTTTCCCCCAATTCGATCAAGATCACTAGACAATATATAGTTCGAAATTAAATATACAAACCACTACTATACTTTCGAATCTTTTGAATAACAAGATAATCATCACCTCTAATTGATACATTAAGTTTAGGATTAACAATCAAAAGTATTATTCGGTGGTTGGAGGTATTCGACAGGATTACCAATAAAAAATAAGGAGTTTAAGACAGTCTTTTCTTTTTTGTACCAAACTACTCAGCGGTGCAAAACTAGGCTTCATCTTATCTTCCAAGTACATCAAATTGTACTTCATCACTGATCTCCATGATAATAAAACTAAAAAGGCTTTACATTGAACAGTCTAAACGATATTCGATTTTTAATGTTAATATATTTACTTTGATCCTTTCTTAACATTCATCATTAAAATAATGTTAGACCTCATCTACATGTATGCACAATAATTTACAAATTCATCAATCTTAACTCATCAACAAAGCGTAACTATAATTTGTACGGAACTGCAGTTCGAACACACATCATGCACCATCTTAGTACTACAAACTACCACTAATTTATTCCCACCTCAACTGGCTTTCTATAGTGGAAGACTATGGTATTCACTATTGCATTCCCTTGCAGACTCGGTACCTTAAATTTCATTCAACGTTAATCATCGTTTTCTTATTCTACCCATTCAACTTCTCATTTGTTATACACTAACTTCCACTACATATTGTATCCCAATATTTTCTGCCCCACTGATTAACTTTGAAGATCTTAGAATGAGTATGTGTTTTTACTAGTCTATATATATACATATACGTATGTATAAATTATTTATATGATTATAGATTATTCAATGTTAAGGGTTTCTGATTGTTGGTGTTCACCTTACTTATAGTATTTTTTTTCATGGGTACGTATATTTGTTTAATATTTATATATATACAAGTTATTTGTTTACATCTTGTGTCCAGAAGTCAATCTTTTTTGTTTGTTTATTTACTTCCGTGTTGTGTAATATTTAAAAACCTTGACGGTAGCAGTTTAAATCTACATGAATGAATTTCGTCTATGCTATTTCATGTGTATATGTGTTTATGTAGGTAAACAATGTGTCGCAAATTTAGTAAACTAATAAAAGAAAAGTAGTTTTTCTCAGTGATTGTCTAATTGATCTTGAAATATAATCAATCTTGTTTTTTTCAATTCGCTTGGCTGTTTTCACCACTATTTTTCTCCTAATGCTATTTCTTTATGTATATTGCACTATACTACTTACTAATATTCAGTAATCAAAACAGTCGTCAATTATTTTTGTATGTATGGCTTCATTGTTGTATCGTAGTTTTAAACATGAACGTGGATCCATGATATTTAGAGTATTTATCCCTGTTACTGTATTTCTTGACACTAATAATAATAATTATTATTTTCACTTCCGTATTTAATATAAACTTTTTTGTTTGTAGTAGTTTACATATTTTGTGTTCATAGTTCTCATTTTTCACTTGTCGACAGAGATATTGGTTATTATTTATTGTACTGAAGCACTCCCTCCATTATACCAATACACTTAAGATAATTCATGAATTAAAGTTTGTAAAACTCACTATTTGTGTTGTTATCTACAACAGTATTGTTTTGTTGACATACCTTTTGTTTTAAGATTAAGATCATGAAGTGATTTAAATTAGACATCCATCGCTCGTCGAGAAGTACTGAACAACTATTCTTTCCTATTATGATACTTCTCAACAGTGTACATCTACGCCCCTACCATATGAATAAATGAATCTTATACGAAAACTCAAGTGTCACTTTGTTAGGTCACATAGGTCCGTCCATAGATTATAGTCTCTCCTATAGTCCTCGTCACTAATTGTACATCGTGGATTCACTGTGTACAGTCGTGGCTGCACTTCTTTTTTTAAAAGAATTTAGTGACAACCTTCAGTTCTCATTGTTCTTCAGTAGTTACTCAGTCAATCTCAATTTTTATGTAGAAATCAATGTTCTTACCTGTTCATATTATTTTAGAATGGTAAACAGCCAATCGATAAACCGAAATTTATACTTTGTTTAACATTTGCTGAAAATGGTGATCTACTGACTGGTGATTCTGCTGGGAACATTATTGCATGGAAACGAGGTAATTAAAATAAAGTTCGTTATTCGTTGTTAAATTCTTTAGTATGGCCGTTTAACGCTTTTTTTGTATTTCTAAAATGTACCTAGAATGCTTCGCTTTCAAAGCAGCTCTGTTAAAACATGGTAATATTTTATGGTTTTGGATGATGTGGTACGAGTTACTATATTTTTAATTTATTTCCGTGCTGCTCTATTGCCTTGCCTTCCCGTCATTACATTACAGCCTAGTTACACAGGACCCATTCAAAATCAAACAAGCAGTCTGTTTTTCCCCCAACATAATAAATATCTATTTGTTAGAAACCAAATACCATTTTAATATCGATTAGTAAATGATTCTCACATGCTAACTAAACATATTAACCATTGGTCACTGACAGTAGCCTTCCCTATTATATTTACATCGTTTAAACTGATCATATGAGGAATATTTTGTGAAGGTGTGAGGTTCGCAAAAATATCTTAATTTTCGTACAGATTATGGCACTTTCAGTAGGAAAAGTATAGTTGTACTATCTTTCTTCATCAAGTCATAAATGATCTTAAGAAAATGAAGCTACAATTTAGCCAATCAGAATACAAGTGTTATGTATTAATGATTAACGTTTGTATATTGAGCTCGGATCAGGATCAAAAATTCAAATTGATGTTTAGTAGTAATAGAATGCAAGAATACTTCTTATTTATTATTGACATATGGATATGTTGCGTGTGTTTTTTTTTGTCTTAATTTTAAATATCAAGCATCTCTAAATCACTTTCGAAGTCCTGTTAATTGTATTTGTTTTCGACGAAACCATAATTTATGGACGACCTTTGAGTGACACTAAAATGATCTTGAGAATATCCACCTACTAACTAGGACTAATTGAGGGTTATAAAGCAGTGTGAGGAATTAAACTTATGACGTACAATTGATCGTTGGGCTTAGGGATTGGATTTAGGGTTTTCATCACGAACCAACTTCAGCTAAAATATCAATACGCTATTTAGACAAATGAATGAATTTCACGCCAAAGTCCAAAGCGTGTTATCTTAAATCTGCAATATCTAGCTTTTTTTCCTGTTCATTTAGTGATTGGATGTGGCATATAAGAAAAAGTATAATTTTAATTGAGGATTTCATTGCAAGCTCTATCCTAGATTTTACTGGCTTTTTTTCCATCTGGCAATTTGATAAACACTAAAACAATGCATTCACAGAGGACACATGTTGATTACTGAAATGAATTTTCGAATGAAATGATCTAAAATTTTCCGTTTCATTTAAGTGTGCGAATACTGCATGTAAGATTAGAATGTTTACTTGTTATTTCGTCTCATTTCGTGACGTCCTCTCAATTGCGTTTTCCCGTCCGACAAGCTGGAATGCGGTACGGTGGAGTATTCACAGAAGTTGTATGTGAATCAGTTTGTACTATTAAAACCAATTTCCCAGTGAAAATTACGTCCTTATACGTATCAATGACCCACAAAGTGAACAGAGAAAATACTGGAAAATGTTGAACTTCACACTTTTATTGAATATCAAAAGAGATGGTTTCCAACACTGCTCCAATTCGTCCGTAATTGTGTAGTTTTTGTCACGTTTATGAAGTTTTAAGCGACTTAGTAACTTCCGCTTACTTAGCTGTTAATAAGTTGCAAGTTTTCGGTCATCATATATTGAATTTAGTAGAAAATTTCAATAGTTGTTATCTTACATATGAGTGATTCGTCAGTAAATTATACTTTTGCCTTTCTTATCTTTGTTGAATATTTTCGAATTATCATCATTATAATCATTATTATGACTTAGGTACAAATACAGTGAATCAAATATGTCAAGGTGTACATGAAGGCGGTATATTTTCATTATGTTTAACAAATAATGGACATCTTATATCTGGTGGTGGGAAAGATCGTCGTTTAGTATTCTTTGATGCAGCTCTTAATCCAACTGGTCATACTGAAGAATTAACTGAATTATATGGTGCTGTAAGAACTATTACACAAGGTCCTGGAGAGTTGTTAATTATTGGCACAACAAAGAATATGATACTACAGGTATTATATATTGTAGTATTATTGTTGCATTGAATATTGTCTGTTTTACCGTTTTTGGTACCTCATGACAAGCACTTTTCTATCATTTTTGAACGTAATCTCACTGTAACCGATTGTTGGAATAATGTTTAGGGGGATCAGAGTGTATGGACGACTTTGGAGTACATTTTAGCTGATGAGAAAACAGTGTTTTGTTGTGAAACGGTTTATGATGAGAAAAGAATTCAGTTTCCATACATTATCAAACGTTTATGTATGATTCATTAGGGTTTTCATCAGGCAATGACATCGACTATAATACAGTAATGAATTTCTTCCTGAAACATTCTTAGTTCATCCATAAACTTCAATTTGCTGAATTTTCTAAAAGGTAAAGGTTGATGAGACGCCGCATATCAGTACCGGTCACATATTGTGAAGACTGAATAGATCATTATATCTCTAGTCCACCAGTTGGTGAAGTGTACAAACGAAGCATATCACTGGAGTAAGTAAATTGATCACTAAGCCTAGGTTGAGATATGTGCACGATTATTCGATTTTGTCAGCTTTAAAATTTCTATTTGATTCAGTCTTCTCATTAGAATAATGGAGTCTGGTCAACCGTAGTTGAATCTTTACTGGATCAGCATACAAAATTATTTAATTCAAATAGTTGTCTCTAGTGATGTAAATTTCCTATTTTCTTTTAAATAAAGGCTGGTCCTGGTATGGAAATAAGTCCTTTAATGTTTGGTCATTCTGAAGAATTTTGGAGTCTTGCTAAACATCCACAAGCTCATCAATTTTTAACTGGTGGACGTGATCATTTAGTAGTTCTATGGGATTCATTATCAAAACAAGCTATTTGGTCAAAAGAATTCACTGATGCTATACATTGTGCTGCATTCTATCCACTTCAATCAGTTTCAATAACAAATGGGACTATGAGTCCAGTTAATAATAATGATAATAATAATATTAATGATAATAATATAATTGATGAAACAAATAATTTAGATTTCAATGTATCAATGATGAATTCACATGATTTATTAGTAGTATTAGGCACAAGTACAGGACGTTGGTTAGTATTCAATTGTTTAAAACAAGAAATAATTGCTGCACATTCCGATGGACTTGGTGAACAGATCGAATGTGTTGCATATTCACCTGGTACGTTGTTATTACTGTTTTCTTTCTTTTGTTCTCGTATGTACTTATCTATGCATACTTCTTTGTTAAACTTGCTATTCAATTGTTAACTCTATTTCTGTCAACATTACATAGTAGTGACAGATGTCACGTTTATCTAGTTCTTTAATCGATGGTGATCGAATTCCACCAATCAGTTTGCTGCGTGGTTGTCTGTCTAAATGACTTGACATCACATGCACTATCTACTATGTCGGCGAGAAACTTGACAGACTGTCTTCTTCAACATCATATTTTCTTTCGTTGAGATCATGAACCGATTTAAATTAAACCACCATTGGTAGCCTGGAAGCAATGAAAGGCCGTTTTGTCCTAGTATGGGACTCCTCGGCAGTGCGTATCCAACAGCCTGCGTGCGGAACTCGGATCCAGGACTTTTGGTCTTGTTCGAGAACGCTTAACCTCTAGACCACTGAGCCGGCATACAAAGGTGTTAATGTCTAACGTTAATCAACCAATGATATTGCGTGACCATCTTCCATTGTCTTCTGTGGGTAACTGCTTCATCCCCGTCAATTTTCAGACTTGGTAGATACTAAGACCTTTACCGATGTTTATAATAACTTTGATGCGATGAAGTTAATCTTATAAAATAATCAGGTTGCGAGTAGTAATTCAGATGAATAATTTATTTCATCGAAATCCCCCCAAAATATTAGGGTTGGTATAAGAAGTTAGATTTAGGAAGTCAGAGATTGTTTCAATAATCATATTCATGAATAGTTATCCAGATATCTTTCAGTTCTCGGTTCTAAGAACAAACATGGAATTATCCTGAATAATTTGAATTCGATTTATTTTCCATTAATTTTATCCGTTACATACTTGTCACTTCCCTGTCTTTATCTCTAGCATTGGTCAATTTCATTCTTTTTCCTTAGTCTGGATTTTCGACGTTTTTTCCTCTTACTATATATTGATAGGTTTTACTTACCTCTTGTGATAAGATAGAAACTATCCATTATTGCCTGATAGTACTATAAATCAGAAATAAATGATCGGCATCTATCACTGACAAACCTTGATAAGAATGAATTAATACATGTTAACTTCGATTACATTACTCGGGAAATGAATATAGTAAGCCCTGATTATTCTCTAAATTAACTGCATACAACAATTGACAATATTAAGAGAATAAAGATGTCTCTTCTATTGATTATGATAGTATATTGTGAAATGGATTGATTTGTATAAACAAAAGTTGAGTTGTACTTAAAAAGTGGGCATCAGCGATGTGATTTGTAGAGGAGACTGGAGTATCAAGTTTAAAATGAACACTGATGTCTTTATCTGGTATCTATTATTGGAGATTATGGTTGTAGTGCTGTATTTTTATTGTCCTTCTATCGAGTCCATCACAGAACATATCTGTATTATAATAAGCTTACGTCATTTATAACAGAAATTACTGTAGTTCAAACCGAATCAAATCGCAAAATAGCACCTACTAGTTCATAAACTCATTGACTATTGAATTGAGCCTTTGTGAGGTGAGTTCAAACTAGATGAATAAAGCCCGCGCATGACATATCTTGACCGATAAACGAGTGCACAAGTTTATTCTATCAGTCGTTTGTGTTATTTCTGTCTAAAGTAAAGTTACCATTCATTATGCTTATCGGGACATAACACATCCTCTTAATCTTAAGAAGATTCATCAACTTCTGAAAAGCCCTTTACTGAAAAGTATTGTATGCTCACTGTTGAGTAACTTCGCGGCAAATTTCTGGAGCTTTAGTTTAGATTCGTGATCAGCAAAGTTCAACCATATTAGATATTAGGCAGTTACCGACCAAAGATGATTGCAGAAAATTTCATATTGACTGAAGTTAGATATGTAAGCTATTGGATGCTGGCTGAGTGATCTATAAGTTAAGAACTGCCACTTGGAACCTATGGTTCTCATTTTGACCTTCTGTTGTGAGGTCCTCAGTCCTCACTGATGAGCAGTACCACACTAGGGTAAAACATCTGCCCAGTGCTTTGTGATTTTCAAAGGTTAACTGATTTAAATTGAATCGTGATCTCAATAGAATAATCTTTGTTTCCTTTTCGATGCTTAATTTTTTTATCCATTTGTAATAGTTCATTTTACTCACAGAATTTCGTTTTCTTCAATTTCCATTGTATGTTCTCCTTCTTTGATAAGTTTTTTTTCATCTCTATTTCTTTCTTTCTCTCTAGACGGAAATTACTTAGCTCTTGGTTCACGAGATAATGTTATTTATGTATATAATGTGTTAGAACGTGGCTACAAATATAATCGTGTTGGACGATGCTGCGGTCATAGTAGTTTTATCCTGCATATTGATTGGTCTGTAGATGGGCGATTTTTACGTTCTGTATCAGGAGATTATGAAATACTGTTCTGGACTGCATTTGATTGTAGACAAGTAAGTGTATCTGTTTAGTAGTAGTATGTTACATTCCTTTTTAAGTCAGTCAAATATATCATTCAATCTGTCTTTAGTTTTCACGTCATTGTATTCGATAATGGATGAATTTCCAGCCAGTACATTACAAATGGCTAATAAATTTTATAGAACTAATCTATTGGAGTCTTCGGCTTAAATAAATATTTCTATTGATCTGACTTATCTGTCTTCTCTAACCCTCTGAAAGGTTAAAAAATCATTTTACAGAACTTGATCGTTCCTGGCTTGGGTGTTGATCTACAGCGTTCATCATACACTGATTACAGGGAAAACGTACGTCACTATCGATAACCTCCGAGTGTCGTTTCAAGGTGTATTTGTACCTGAACGTTTTGTTACATTTATTGCAATGAAAATCCACTCATTGATTAAAACGTATTAAGTCGTACAAAAAGTTGTTGCTGATTTTTTCATGTTCAAAATCTTAAAACGCTTTTTTTGGTAGTGATTGTCTCGCAATTTTGACCCTACACCTGGCAACCAACCAAAATGAAGCGGGTATGTATTATTCGCATTATCGCAATCCATGATAGAGGGCGTTTCGTTTTTTGGTCATTTTTGTTGGATTACATGAATAATGGGAAGTTTCCTACTACGAAAATATCACTCCATCATACTATGAACGTGTCAAGTGTAGCTCACTCGGTTATCATGGATGAAAAATTACAACATAACAAAAGACTTATGTCTAATTAATTTCGTAATGGAAATTGTTCCAAAATATCTACAATTAAGTGACCAAATAAACGAAAACATAACCGTAATTACTAACTACGATGCATTCAGATGGCTTGACAACATTGAGTTTATCGCCAACCTAATTCTAACATTAAACTTCTTTTTTTTCTTTAAAGCGTTTATTTAATTAATGTAGATTGTTCCAACAATTTAAATTCCGATCGGCTTTATGTTATGAAAGGTCATTTTTTTAGCGCCAGTGAAAGCCCTCATTAAAGCACACTTTTAACTGGTTGTATATAAATGACTTATTTGTGTTTTTTTTTCTTATCACGACATAATGCATTCCTATCGGTTATGAGTAACAAAAGTTTATTAACAAGTGACCTGTTCTATTTATTATTCTATTTTGAAAATGAATTAAAGAATGTTTATTTGTTATTGCAAATTGTATAGTTAATTAGTGGTCAGTTGAAGTTGAATTATGCTTTACTCGTTCTGTTTTGATTTTTACGGTTTGATTGTATCATCAATGTTACTTAAAGCCAAGTAACATTGCATAAATCTCCGAACAAAATTATAATGACTCAAGACATATGATTTAACGAATACAAGTCTTATAAACAGAGATGTATTGTGGCTAGCGGAGGAATCCAGGACACGCATTTCGTTCTATTTACGACTCGTTAGCTTGATGTGCCTGCATCCTAGAGTTGATGTTCATTACGGAACTAGAACTCAGTGCCATTCGCTTCATCACCTCTGCTTATAATTCTTGTGACTTAAGGCAGTATATCGAGGCATTCCGCACTGGATACACATATGTCAATAAGAGACTGATCAGTTGCAGTCCTAAAGATCAATAGGCATATTCGAGCAACCAATACAAAAACGAATTCAAGTTTGTTGTAACAATGCATTTATTTCTCAGTGTTTGTTGTTTTAGTCAAACTTTGTTAATAATCAAGTTAAGTAAGTTAAAGTTGAAACGAAAGTCAGAAAATTATCAGTTCATTTATAATTTATACCTTAGAAAGTTCTAGATTCTTCCTCTCTTACCCTACCCTTTAACTCTGATTAACTGAAAATGAGTCGACAAGCTGTAGCTCCTAAAACAAAAAAACAGTTTAAGTTTGCAAGAAAAGAACGATTCAGTTAGCGATTTTGTACGTTTTTCGGTTACTGACGCAAAAGTGTTCTTAACAAAGTATACTACACTAATGAATGAGTATAAGTAAAAGCTTTAGATCATCATTCACCTGATCTAAGATTAATGAGATTAATTTGATTGTTTCAAGTCTAGCTAACCGTAAGTATGTAATGTATGCTACTTATGTTGACAGATATAAGAAGTATTGTAGTGAACAAACACTCAATTGGAGACAATCAATTGTATTTCAACACAAAATTACAGAGGATCTTGGTGAAATATATGAACCATACATTGAATACTTCATTTGCGAATTTTCATTGTTTGTGCTTCACATTCTGTATGATTTTTCAAGTTCACAGTTCATTTTTATTTTCCCTTATATTCCCTTCAAATCGATCTTCTTAGCTTTTTGTCTCCAGGTTTTCCACTTCCGATTGGTATTGCATACTACTTGTGTCGACAGATATAAATAGTATACACCATAGTATGTAACACCAATGAGAAGTGGATTGCCTTTCAGCAGAAGGTTGAGAATCCACAATTGAAGAGAACAGAAAGGGAAAAAGAAATAAATCATAATAACAACAGAATTGAGGAAATCATAAAGCATGTAAAGGACAACTGAAGGGAAATATGCAAATTATGTATTTAATGTTTGGTTATCATTGTTTTACGAAAATACTCTTTAATTTTGTGTTAAATAATAAATTGGTCTTTCCAACTAGACTACTTCGTCCACCTGTGTACAGCCACTACCAAAGAAGTCCTACCCACTGCCTCCTCACAGCATTTTTGTTGTTTACGAAATTCAGAGGAGGAAAAGCGAATGCTTGGCGTCTTAACCGGGTTGGTGTATATGGAGGGTCCACCTAGAGGAGTTGAAAACACTGAAAACACTAACCAATGGTTAACATGGGCTACAGGATCCTGAGGGAACAAATGACGTATGAACCTATTGTTGGTCACCGGCTACCATCAGAGTAGGTCTTCTAACGTTCCCTTGTCTTGTGGATTAGACCTCTAGGTGGAAGGTCCGTTAAGCGCTCGCCTGCGAGACTGATAGTTCCTGGGTCCGAATCTCGCGAGATGGGATCGTGGATGCGCAGTACTGAGGAATCCCACAATAGGACGAAGCGACTGTCCAGTGCTTCCAGATCACTTTTTGTTAATACTGCACTTTCCAATTTGTCTGGTTTCTTATTAAGCCTTTCTTTCATGTTACTTAATGATTAATAAGGTGTTGACGTCACAAATTTCTTCATTTAATGTAATAATTGTGTATATATTTTCCTATCTCTAATTTTCAAGGTTGTCTCACCTAGTACACTACGTGATTTAGAATGGGCTAGTCAAACATGTACACTTGGTTGGGAAGTAGCTGGAATTTGGCCATCTGATTCAGATGGTACTGATGTTAATGCTTGTGATCATAGTCCAACTGCTGATATTTTAGCTACTGGAGATGATTATGGAAAAGTTAAACTATTCAAATATCCAACTAATAAACCAAAGGTAAGATTTTTATTTTAGATACTAATTGTATACTTATTATAACTTGTGGTCTGAGTGCCCTGCTAATGGATAACGCAATAATACCTCCAATCAGAGAGCAGTGAATTATCGATCGGACCAAGGACGCGTAAAACACGTGCGAGCAGCCTAGAGTTCTGACTGGCCCTGCTTTCCGCCTAGCCCAGCCAGTTAAGTCTAGAACGTCAGTCTCAGCCTCTGCAATATGAATCATATATTTTATGCATACTGGGTTTATATACCAATCAAACAGACCACAATGTGCCATAAAATAGAAAATAACATTTGTACACGATCTAGCCAAGAGTGACTGTGAATGGGGGAGGTAGTGATTAATAGACATAGAATAATTCAAGAATGGCAAGTCGTATAATAATAGTTCATAGGTCAAAATAAAACTCATAGTAAGAGGGACATGAATATGAATAGTTCAGTTATTTAACAACTATACAATAAAAACATACGTCTAGCATTGGTCTATAAATGGATCCCAAAAGTTACCATTCATTATGCTTATCGGGACCTAACAATATTTGGTTCTTTTTTTGTATAAAAAATTCTGATTTGAAAGGAACTACACGTTGGAAAGATAGCTAAATGAATGGATAACATTCAATGAACTCCTGATATTGTCTGGTCTATTGAAAAAATTAATATAATTGGGTTCCAGAAATATTTTAGAAAGAAATGGGCCTTGTGATCTGTAAACATAAAAAAAAGTGTTCTTATCCAAAAAGAACTGATAATGAACACTTAAAGTTGATCATATGTGATATGGATTGTGTATCTTGATGTTGTGAAAGTATAACTTTTGAACAAAGCAACTATTAAGTTTACTCTAACTGTTGATGATAGTTATTTAGTTAATATTAGTCTGTCAAAAAAGATATCATCTTTAATATTTATAACCTGAATTAAGTCAATTTAAAATGAACTATACATATTACATTACTGATAGGTCTTGCTAATTGAACGCTATATTTGGTGCCTAATCTATTCTCGTAACCCTCAAGCTAGAACTAAACAGCGATCTGTACACGAGAGATGAGGCGCAAAATATACTAGAAGCACTTTACTCCAACAGTTCGTTTTAGTACAGAAATTATACGATTTTTATAATATTTTAGATGTCCTTAGGTTTCACGAAAATTCTGGAATGCTACTCAACATAGTAGTAGTGTAGTAATCAGTCAATTAGAGACTCTACATGTGACTTTTCACTTCCTTGATGTTTCTCTCAAAACTTCTAGTGAACGCTGATTGGATAAAATGCTTCTTAGTTGTTTTTTGAAACTTTTTTGTATTTTGCGAGACGTTTTCTGGATCACCCACTGGATCACTCACATATGATTGAGAGGAAATGTTATAACAATAAGGGACAAGATTCACAGTTCACAATTCCACATTTAATACGATTCTAGATAAATCATTTAGTTTAAATACTAGTTCACTAGATTGGATACTGAATCAATGGATCATTTTACTTGATCTTATATAGGTGCATGATACAGTTGAGTTAGCTATCCGATAAAAAATCAAGAACCAGACAGAATCTAGAAGGACATTTTAATAATACATTATAAAACGGCCAATAAATGGAATGAAAGTGAAAAAAAAGGAACCAGTCCTACAGACAAATGACAGTCTTTTGTATTTCATGTAAACATATATGTCCATCTTTGCTCACTGCCTAATCATGACTTACTTTTTAGCCAGAACATCAGAAAACTACCATAATGTGTTCAGTAGTCTTGTTTTGATTCTAATTCAAAGTTTTCTCGTCGTTTCAATCTCCTGCCAGTTGAAATGGTACCAAACAAAGGGAGCCCATATGCACCATTAGTATTAGTTTGTAATCAGGGTTTATTCGCTTAACTCGCCTAGGTAGATACTGAATACCCAAGAACCCTGTTTAAGCTCTGGACATTCACTTTCCGTCTTAGTTTCGCAAACAATAGAAATGCCGCGAGAATGCTGTGGGTAGAACTGCTGATAGGGCAGGGGGTTCTAAAAATCCTCAACCGTACCAGGGAATTTACGGTATATATATATATATACCAATATGTACATGTCAGGGATCATGTTGAGTTTAAAACTGGATTCGTGTGTTACTCTAGAGAGGAACATTAGAATTGTGTACATCGATTTTAACAGATTAACAGCACAAATGCATTACAAATTATGTGTAATAAACAATCAAAACTGTAATCTCATCTAAAATACATTCCAAATTCTCTCATTACTCTTATTTCCTTTATTTTAAACAAAGAAGTCATTTACTTGTTCAAATAGAATCGTGTCTAATCAACTTACGAAAATTATCCATAACCATTCATTCATGTGTTTATTCATCACACAACAAACCACATCATTATTGACATCAACCGATATTCTATTCGTCACGTCCTATATCCCGTTAAATATTGTGTTACGAAATCGCCAATGAGAGACTTCTATGACCTTGTGTTTGTGCTAAATCAACGATGTATCAACAAGCACTAACAGCCTTGAGTCAACTCTGAGTCCTTATCGATCCTTTGTATGGTAACTTCTCGCCTAACCCATCCTGTTCAGTTCAGAATACAGATATCAGCCTCCGCTATATGAATCGTATATTTCAGATATACATGGTTTATATACAAACAGACTAGACCTCATCACAACATGAAATAAAAAATAATTATTATACAAAATCAAGCCAAAAATTCCTGTGAGTGTGAGAGATTATAACGAATGGATTAGGAATAAGTTAAGATTGGTAAATCGTCTGACACTAGCTAATAAGTCAAATGAAGGTTTATGATAAAAAGAATACGAACATGTATATAATCTAGTTGCTTGATAATTACCCTATAAGAATATATGTATTATTAATAATCCATAAATAATTCCTGGCAGTTACTATTCATTTATTCTTCGTTCTCTAGTTTGATTTCTGTCATATCGGTTAATACATATTTATGGTATCTATTTGACATTTTGACAGAATGTTCGTTCTACTTGTCTAATTGTATACGACTCTAATAAACATCCTATAAATAACACGTGTATATATATATATATATATATATGTTTAAACAAATGAAAATCAGATGACACATATTGTGTTTATGTAATATCTGATGTTTGTAATCTAAAGTCCCCTTTTCGTTTTTACATTATCAATGGTTCTTTCAATTTTCTATATTATTATGTTTTTACGTTGAATGTATTTTGGTAGTGAATTCCTTCAAAAGGTGATGGTTGGTTAGATATCAACATAATTGTGTCATCTTAATTGTTTTCAACTTGTTAACAATAGGGTATATGGATCAAGATTCTATATAGGATTGAATTTGAGGATATTTAAATCTTCTGATGAATAAAATGTTCTTAAATAACAGTTAGTTCATTGAGTCTTTGATTGTTGGATTAGGTCATATTGATAGGTGTAGTCTATCAGGTTAGAGTTGTCCACATATATATCGTAATGGTTAGAAACGATGTATAGTATAACTTAGAATCTTATATTATTTTTGTATACTATTTGAACACATAAACATTCCTACAAGGAGGCCACACAAATCATTCGATTTGTGTGAATGTTGGGATACTGATCAGGTGCCCAAACCGAAACAGGTAGTTTTCTTAGGAGACCACTCCACGGACCTTTCACCTAGAGGTCTAATCTATAAGGCAGTGGAACAACGTTAGGAGATGCAGTCGCATGGTAACCAGTGACTAACGATGGGTTCATAGGTCAATTTTTCTCTCAGAATCCTGTAGCCCATGTTAACCATTGATTTGGAATCAGGGTTTTACAACTCCACCAGGTAGATCCTCCATATCCACCAACCTGGTTAGGGCGCCGAACTTTCGCTTTTCGTCTTCTGAATTTCGTAAACAACAGTAATGTCGTTCGTGACTGTATACAGGTGGCGATGTGAGAGTGTTTCGAGAGAGAGTGAATTTTCCTTACGCTAGACAGTTTCAGGTCATTTGAGTGTTCTAGTTTGTCTTAATGCATTCACCATGTATTTTTGTAGGTCATGATTTCTAAAGTTTTCTATTCTACGAATTCATTCTTCTCGAATAAAAATTGTTGGTCTCTAATCTTGTTTATTAACACTGTTACTGTTACTATTTCTACTTCTTTGGTATTCCTCTTGATGTGTTTTATGGTGTCAGAACTTGAACTATTGTATGTGTCAGATCGTTTGTTGCTCAAGATTAACTGAATTAACTGAAGCCCATCATTTCGTATTTCCAACTTTTGTATATTCAAAATATAGTTAACATTATAGATTAAAATGATTTACACCTAAACTGGAAAGAATCTGTCTCAAATCCTATCATTGGTTGTCTAGGTAAAAATCAAGGTAATAATGATGATATTTTTTTAACACAGTAACGAGTAACAAGTCATGTACACCATTGTAGTTCAAGTAACCGTTCTTTTTTTACTTTGAGAGCTAGTGGTACTACTATTACTTAAACTTCCAGACTGTGAAGTAATTGAATGTTTTGTCGTTTAGTTCTCCACTTTAATAACTACTCAATATCAAAGTTGTGTAATTACTTGATCAAATAGTTTTGCCTATTAATTAATTTATTTATGATATGTGTGACTGTATAAATATTAACTTTTCACTTGAAATTATTTAATCGATTCTTGATTGTGTTATCCTATGGTATCCGGTGATCAAGAATAACTTCATACTTCCTTTATTTCCCCAGAATCTCAAAGCTCATATGCACCATCAGTATTGGTTAGTAAACAGCAGGGTTTCCCAACTCTTCTAAGTGTATACTGTGTACCCACAAACCCTGTTTAAGCGGTGTACATTCACTTTCCGTTTTCTCATTTTCATAAACAACAATGATGCTACGAGAAAACAGTAAGTAGAACTTTCTTATGTGTGACTATATACACATAGCCAAATAAGAGAATTTCGATAGGGATATTTAACCCTACCCACCATCGATATACTTGGGTACTTTGATTATTCACACATTGCAGTAGTTGTGAATTTGTTGCAAATCAAATCATACAGTTTCAGATGAGGTGAATGCAAAGGTTTAATTTAAAAAATAATCATAATCATAAACCATAAACAAGCTCATATTAATCACCTTTATCATTACATCAATTCTCTTTTATCATTTTCTATTTCAGGCTGAATTTCGTGCTTATAATGGTCATTCAAGTCATGTGACAAATGTAACATTTTTATATGATGGATCTAGATTAATATCTATTGGGGGCAAAGATACAGCTGTATTACAATGGGAAGTATGTATTTAACACATGATATTATATGATAAATACATATTCATCATTTATTTAATCAGTTTCTTCTTCTTCGTCTTCTTCTTCTTCTTCAGTATTGTTCATAGTTATTATTCTCATTTTCTATTCATACTCTCATCATATCATCCATCTACAACTCAATGGATACGTTTGAGAGCAATAAAAATAAAAAAAGATTCATTCTAATGCTGTCTGTATGGTTTTCTGATGCCTTCAAATTGAAATGTATTTGTCATAATCATTCATTATTCATAAAGTATGATCATATCTGTGTGCAATACATTTACAATTACCAGAAGAATACCATTTAGTATAGTTAATTTATTGTTATAGTCGATAACCTCACTTCTTATTAAAATTATTAACATGTTTGTTTTGTTAATGTTACTATTTCTCTCCACCCCCACCCCCCGAAAAACGCTTGTTTTTCTTTTTTTACAAATATACCATATTATTAAATTGTTTATTGATTTATTTATTGAAAAAATAAAAATAAACGGCATCGTTTCCTCGTGATAAAACAAAGAAATATATACTACTACTGTTTACTCACCTACCTATCTATCTACCTATCTACTTATCTGCTTACTTACTTGTCTCTTCTCATACTTATCGATGATTTTTCCTCGTTGCTCACTTTCTCGTTTTTGTTTTCTTTCTTATTTTATCATCATTCGTGACATTTTAGTTTTGTTAATTTGGGTAAAAATAATTGTCAATTTTTTGTTTACATGAAGCGAGTATTATTATTATTATTAATTATTATTATTATTATTATTATTATTATTATTAAAATCCCTGTATTTGTGAAGTCGATTATTTCTGTTTCCTAAATTTTTACACTAATGATGTTTATATGTTATTAAAATGGGGGGAAAAAACCTTGGGAATGTACACATACACGCACGCACACGCTCATACACTTACTTACTTACGCCTGTTACTCCCGATGGAGCATAGGCCGCCGACCAACTCATACACACACACACACACATAAATACATTGGCAAAACTACATATTATACACTAAATGTGTTGACTGTTATATTGACTTTTATCAATGTTGACAACATTCGATAAAAGAATGAAACAAAACAAAAAAGGTAATTAACAATGTTTTTTTCACAGGTTCTATTTTGTTTCTTGTCTTTAAAATTTAATACATTTACTGTTTACTATCTGCATTCCACTCTATTTCCTTCTATTACTTTATACAGGCATATAGAGATTTGATTTTAAATGCATTCATTGTTTGTATTTCTAATAATAATAATAATGATAATGAGGAGGAGAACGAGATTTTTCTTTGTGTGGCTTTTTGTTTGTTTTCTTCATAAGTTCTAATCTTTCTTCTCTATCGATATTGTGTGTAAATGGGCGAATTGTTATAAATGAATGGAGTATGGTTTTCAGTTCTGTTCCTTCTTCTTCTTCTTCTCTTTGTGGTCATTGGTTTATATACAGAAAGATGTTTTAAAACAATTCATTATTCTAGTAATATTATATTAATATATATATGTTGTATTCATAAATTATGGCTAAGAAAATGTCATAGATAGTTTTTCTTGGTGCCTGTGTATGTACTACTTAATTTGACTACTATTTATCGACACCATATATATAGACAGATAGATGGATTTCTTGACTTTAATTAATGTTTCCTTCTATAGTTTATTTATTTCATTGTTTGTTCTTGACATTGTCGACTACATGTCTTCTTCATACTATACATACACAAATAGATAGATAGATATATAGATAGATCAGGTTTATGTGGATCAATTTCAATTGTGTTTTCCTCTTTTGATGTTCATTGTTCTTTCATTGATTATAACATTGAATTTTGAATTTGTGCATAATTTGTTTAAATAATGCTCATTTGATCTTTTAAAAATGAAATAAATTATTTTTTTCTTCTATAGTATAATGGATGTATTCTGTTAGTGGTTATTACTTGTAGTTAAGTTTGTTGATCTGTAAAGTTTAAAACTATCTATTCAATATTGATTATATTTGGAAATATGAACCTTTGGATGTTAAAACAATGATCTAGAATTGTAACTTACTTCTTTAAAGACTTGAAGATCCTAGGTTCATCATATTTAAGAGGATCCAGAGTACACTCTGTTAATGAGAGCTGAACGTAAATCGTTTTCAAAAGACTATATGATATGAAATTTCACATAACCAGTCTTGTTCACAACCTGTTAAATTCTAAGGTAAATATATACAAGTATAATATCGTTACAGAGTATTTCCTGTTATGTAAGCGCTGTGTTTGACAAATATTAATTAAGTTAGCTTCTAAATATTGTTCTAGTAAATAGATATCCAACAACTGACAAGATATCTAATTTAACAATATTTTTGCCTTGAACGTACACGAGTTTTGGTTAGTAAGTTATAAATATTAGTTCAAATCATTCTGAATGTTGCTGTAATCTAACGAAAGAGGGCCTCCAAATGCCCTAGTACGATCGAGAGTTGGGAGAGTCAGCCCTCGCTCTCGAAATGCTCTCACATGGCCACGTGCATATAACCACTTCACTGTCTTATCGCGGCGGAGGTGTTGTTTACGAAACTGAGAGGACGGAAAGTGAATGTCCGGCGCTTTAACCGGATCAGTGGACACAGAGTCCACCTAGAAGAGTTAGAAAACCCTGATTTTAAATCAGTGATGGACATGAGTTCCAGAATGTTAAAGGAACAAATGCCGCATGAACCTAATGTTGGTCTTCGGCTACAATGGGACTGCATCTCTTTACGCTGCTCCACTGCCTTGTGGATAAGACCTTTAGGTCGAAGGCTCCAGGCGTGGTCCTCTAAGAAAACCACCTGCTTCGGTTTCGGCACCCGTAGAGTATCCCATCCCTCACATATATCGAATGATTTATGTGGCGTATATCTATTTGGTGCCTCCTACAAATGTTTGTGCTCAAATAAATAAATAATGTTATAGGATATCGCTTACTGATACTGTAAAGCAGAATTTATACTGGTTTAATAAATGAATAGTCTATCGAAAATTTGGATAAAAATTATACTGTAGAGCTTCTGGATACTACATTGTGATTGTGCAATGGATCTATAAGTGTGACGTCTACAATACTTTTGCATATCTTTCTTCAACCAATACGCAGCCTACTAGTAGTATATGAAGTATCCAAAAATTCTACGATATGCTCTCATTCTATCCCTTGAATAGACGAATAGGATTCATTAAATCACTGTAAATTCTAATGCACAGTTTCTGTAAATGATATCAATAATGAAAATTTATTCTAATAGTTGAATTCATGAGTCAATATAAACTAGATCACCATTGAAAACCTGGAAGCACTGGATGATTTTTTCGTTCTAGTATGGGACTTATCATCAGTTCGCATTCACGATCTCGCATATGGAACTCGAACCCATGGCCTTTGATCTAGCTTACATTAACTCATGAATTCAACAATTAAAATCGCTACAATCTCCACAAACCACCATTCAACAAATTGTCTTGTTAAGTTCTTTCTCAAATTGTCCCCATGTACTCACTTCACTAGATATTTGTAATTTCTTTTCTGTATTATGTAATAAGTCAGGCTATATTATTATATCATTAAAAGAAATAAGTCAATCCCATTAGGAGAATGGGACATTTGCTATTAAGGCTTGTCTACAGTTCAATAATTCTTAACGCATGTAGAAAAATTAATGAAGTCACGATATTAGTTAATTAAATATGAAAGAAAACTTTTTTACGTCTAGCTCTGTAGTGAACACGAATGGGAACAACCGAATGTATTTGAACACGGAATTACAGAATATCTCACTAAAATCTAAGACCCATACAGTAAACACTTCATTTCTAAAATATCAATCCATTGTCTCAAACTCGACTGTTTGTTTTACAAATATCAGTCCATCGTTTGAGATTTCATTGTTCCTGTATTTTCATGCCAATTGCATTCCGTCCCTGTTCTTTCTTTCTCGATGTTCTACTGAAATACAATCTATTCCTGACTATCGTTATATGCTACTTATGTGGACATAAGTAGCTCACACAGGTTTCATTTTAGTTCTTCAATTTTTACACTTTTATGAATCTCAATACTAAAACTAAAAATCTGTTAATTGTCAGAATAAATAAATAAATAAATAAACTTTATCTGTAGTTAACATTAACAGAATAGAGTTAATTAAATAAGTATTGTAAACCGGGATGTACTGAATAGCTGTTTCATTTTAATTTGGAACTTCTTTTAACATGGATTCATGGAATTCTAGAAAGAATTTATGACTAATAGAATTCAACCTTCGTTGCCGCGTGTCGAACATTTACCCTCTAGACCCCTAAGTTAGTATCCAACGTTGTTAACTTCAGTCATTCCGTTATATTGCTCACTCTTCATCCACTGATTGTAGTGGATAACTGTCTCAACTCCACTGGTCACGGCTTCTCACTAGAACTCCACGAGTTGCATTTTGAAGCTAGTGAGCAGATGATAAGTATATGTATAGGGTTATGGAAAATTCAAATGTATCGGAATTGAGACAAGTGTCACTCATTGAACTAAATAATTACTCTGCTAAGCAGTTTTATACTCGGCCGAAGCACCTGTATGTTGCTTCCAGGTTTCACAATGAATTTACTAATTTACTGTGTAATTTTTATTACGTTAAATCATTTCTCTGCTATATGTCATCATATCATTGTAATGCTTGAGCTCCCTACTATTTGAACCATTAATAAGTTTGGACACTTGTATTCGATACCTGACTTTATAATATTAGTCACCTAAACAACAGTAAATTTATTGGCAGTTTAGTTATTTAACTTTGTCGTACTACTTTTTTTAAAAACCAAGTGGACAGTTTTCTCGGTGTTTTTTGTAATTACCTGGAGATTTAAGTTTAGTAATCAATATCACTCCCTCTTTATCAGTAGTGATTAAAATCAATTTTTCAGAAATCTAATTGGATTACACCTTCTTTGTTAAATCCGTGTAAAGCTATGAACGTTAGTTCCTTGACTCATGTATTACTCATTAGTAGGGTACCAATTTAAACAAGGTCAACTACAGTATTGTTCTACAATCGATGATACAACCATTTTCCAATTGTAAGCTTCAATTATCATTCAGTGGCGAGATTATAATTCATGAACGAGCCAATCAGATATAAGATAACAGGTCATTGATTTTGGCACGAACTTCATTCATTCATCTGGCTAGATAGTATCTTGGCATTTTAACCGATGTCAAATTGTGATGAAAACTCTAGATCTAGTTCTTAACCCTAACCATCAAATGTTAATCATAATTCCAATTATTCACACTACTTTACAACGGTCATTTAGTCCTAGTCAACAGGTGGACATTCTCAGGGTCACCTTAGCGACGCCCAATGCTCGTCCATAAATTATAATCTACTAGATGTCTCATTATCAATCAATTAATTCGCTCTAACTATATCAATGTTTGACTTGTTTATTTTTGTTGTTATTTATGTTAAGAACAGGTATGTAAATATAAAAATTCAATATTTTCTCATCAAATCTGAGATCATGTTGATTTCTTATTTGTTCTCTCTTATAGACATTTCTATCTCTCAGTCGATCATTGAAATTAAGTAACATGTTATTAACACTTTAATTGTACATCTATGTTACCTGGGTAATTGATTATTGATTATGGTGATCAATTTTAAGGATATGTATATATCAGAAATGGGTTTTTGTGGATATGATAAAAGTTGAATAGTTGAATTCATGAGTCAATTGAAGCTAGACCACCATGGAAAACCTGAAAATATTGGATGGTCTTTTCATTCTAGTATGGGACTCCTCAGTAGTGCGCATCCACGGCCCCGTCCCGCGAGATTCGAACGCTTAGCCTCTAGATCACTGAACCAACATCCAATAATGTTAATAACTAACTTCAATAATCCGTAAAATTGAACCACTGTCCACCATTGTCTTCACCGAGTTACTATCTCAAAACAGACCCAGTTGAACTCCACTGACCACTGCTTCTCACTAGAACTCCAGGAAAATATATATATATGTTTTTTGATGTAACTCACTTAACAAGTACAGATTTGTTTACTCAGCTTTAAGATCCACTTATGGATTTATATTAAGAAAGTCATTAATTGTTTTGATTATTCTATTATTTAATGTATGTCAGAAGTTTCACTAGTGACCAAGATAGTATCGTGGGGATTTTCACTATAAATAATCCATTGAGAGATCTTAGTTCTTGCGTATATGTCAGATAAATGACATTATGCTGTAAAAAAAAATCAATCTTGACGCACTTTTTAAACCGAATATACAAGTTTTACTGTTTAATTGATTGGTACAGAAATTGTTTTAATGGAATTTATAATAAACGAATGGTCAGTCGGGTTGTTCTTAAATTATACATCAGACATTGTTTACATCTAATGAAACTTTTAATAAGTAAACGTGAATAATTGACAACAACTTGAATAAAGAATCGATTTGATCAGAATATTTTCATCTGTTACTTGCTTACTTACTTACGCCTGTTACACCTCAGGGTGGATGATTGGCCACCCACCAGCACTTTCCATCCAACTCTGTCCTGATCAATCTTTAGCAGTTGCTATTCATCCTTTTCATGTCTGTTTCCAATTTCCAACGCAGTGTTCTTTGGTCTTCCTCTTTGCCGTTTCCCTTCAGGATTCCAAGTTAGTGCTTGTTTCGTGATGTAATTTGTTGATTTCCGTAATGTATATTCTATCCATTTCTAACGTCTTTCCCTAATTTCTTCTTCAGATGGAAGCTGGTTTGTTCTCTCACACAATAGATTGTTGCTGATGATAGCCGGCCAACGGACATTCAGTAGACAATTTTTTTGTAAATACTTGTACCTTTTTGATGATAGTTGTAGTAGTTCAAGTTCCACTACTGTGCAATAGGGCTGTTTTGACATTCGTATTGAAGATTCTGACTTTGATATTGGTTGGCAGTTGTTTTGAGTTCTGTATATTGTTCAACTGTAAAAATGCAGTCGTTGCTTTGCCAATCCTTGCATTTACATCTGTATGAGATCCTCATCGATGACACTATCCAGATAAGTGAAGGTTTCCATGACTTACAGAGTTTTTCCATCAACTATGATTGTGTTGGTGTTCTCCGTATTTTCATCTGTACCCTATTAATTTACCGTTTTATATTCATAAAAGGATTTGTTATTTCTTTCATTTACTTATCTCACAAAATCTATTATGATTGTTACTAAAAAGAAATAAAGCGATATTTGGAAGTAATAATTTATACCTGTTAAGCATATTGAAATGATTATTTTTAAGATTTCATCAGTCGCAATCAT